TCTATCAGATGCAATGCATGGAAAAAAATCCCCCAAACCCAAACAGGGGACCAGATAAGAGAGACGTTATCTCAGACAACTGGCATTGCCAGACATTCCTGGCACGACACTTCAGTGTGCAGAGCTTGAGTGCTAGAAATGGTGTGGCCATGGTAGGACAGAACATCACCCAGCCTTTTAACCCTCCCAAAGCCATACTTTAGGAGCAGTACTTCTCATGCTATCCTAACCAACCACTTTGACTTCCCTGCCTTTTCAGTACTAGAAAACAAAACAAAACAAAACAAAAACTTTGGATTTTCCTAGATGGCAGACCATTCAGAAAATAGATCTGCCTAAGAAATAACTGGCCAAGAGGAACAGGAAAACCTTAGTTATTTTTCAGCTGGTTTAGTTCTTGGGCCAACTTCACAGCTGTGCTGGTACAACAGAAGGGGCAGCCTTGGAGCAAGTGTGAGCCGGACAGTCCAAGCCAGCAAGGCCAGAGCATAAACACCTGTCAGACTACACCAGATGAAGAGGGAAAAAGTGTCACGCCTCTCCTAGTACTCAGCTACACTGGATGGCTGTGTCAACGTGATGTCTGCAGGCATTTATTTCCCTGGTGATTTCATATTGTGTGTTTGTCAACCAAGAACCTTCGAAGAAAGATGTTTCCTTCAAGAGCAAAGGGGAATCTTTTAATAACTCTCAGCGTCCAAAGTCACCTTAATAAGGAAAGACATCTCCATCTCCCTTCTGAGGGAAGTTAACTGTGTAATGTTTAACTGTGTAATAACAACAGACCAACTCAGCATAATTACAAGCCCCTATCCCAAGGAGCATGCAGGCATGCACCATCTGTAACCAAACTTCATCATATGTCAAAAGCCTTTTTTTTTTCCTCACCAGGACATTTATAATAATCTGTAGGTGGATACATCCCACATTCTGTTACGAAATACAGGTGAAGATGTTCAGTGCAGGTCAAAAATAACAACTTTCACAGCTGAGTCTATACAGTCTGTAAAACCTCTGCTCCCCTTCCCCTCCTACTCAGAAGTACTCTGTACTCATGCTTGAAAAGACTTGGTTGATGGCAAACCAGAAGCACTTAGGGGAAGAAAGAATCTGCTCTGCATCTAAGTAAAGGGAATTTCCACAACACTGAGTCTTGTGAGAGGAACATTGTGATCCAGGAGGTTGCCTCAATGAGGAAATCAGAATATGATCATCAGGCTGATTGAAGTTATCTTCAGTGAGAAAAACAACAATCAGTGAAATACACCCATTTTATATACATCTGTGGTTAGAGAGAGGCACATACAAGGATAAAACTGCACTTTTCTGCTTTATATGTCCCACAAACAGCTCAAATGTTACCTGTGATCTTAATCAGTAATTAAGTAAGATGCTGCTGCCATTATTATTCCTCTCTTCCTCCCTTATTCTCCCCCAGTATGGGCCAGGACGCAAAAACTTTATAATACTGCCAGGTCTAAGTCAGACTGGATAAACACATTTAAAACATTACAAGATTTATTTATTTTTTTCAATTAGCCTCTTACCCAATTGAGATGTTGTTTAGCTGCCAAAAGTTGTCTTAAGGTTATTTTCAAAAATTCTATGTTTTCTTGGCAAAAAATCCTTTTTGAGTTAAAATCCAACCCCCATGATGGTGTTGCCAAACATCCTCTTTTTAATTTCTTCAGAGCAACATCTAATACTGTCCAATACTACTCCCTAAGTGGAAATAGCCACTATCCTATACCATTCACATCTCTGAGAGAAATATATATAGCCCCTTCTCAAAGGCCCTAGCCCAGCTGGGATTTGTTGTAATGCACAGTGCAGAGGAATTAATAGTTATTGTTGTTGGTTTGGTTTGTGTCTTGTTTTCTTTCCTTTTCTTTTTTTCTTTTGTTTTCTCTTCTTTTCTTTTCTTACATTTTTTAATTTATTTTTTTTTTTTTGGTGACAAGCAGCTGAATGCCACTGAGTATGAGAGATAAATGATAGAGAAAGGGATGAACAAGAGACGAACAAGAGGTGGGCTCTTTCAAGGGTTTCCAGCAGAAAGAAATAGAGTGGGGAAGGAGGGAAACAAGAACATGACATGATTCCCTGGTTTCTGAAGCCCCACCAAACCCCTGAGTCCCTCTCTCCCACAAGTGCCAGCCTCCCCCAAAAAGCCAGGGACTGCTCCAAGCCTCCCAAGAGCTGGAGCAGAAAACTCCAGCTTTGGCAGCACCATATATTTGAGGGCGACATGAAGCACACCTGGGGCTATTTTTCAACCCTTCGGTCACCAAAGGACCTTTCAACTTCCAAAAAAGAAAGAGGTTTTAATCTATCCTGGTTTGTTTATTAATGAAGGAGCAGGAAAGAGAGGCGTGTCCTTGTATGTGAAGAGGAGGTGAAGGAACAGCTAGGGCAAGGAACAAAAGTCAATTGTGCCAGACTAATACATGATTGGCTCTGAGCTTGGAGACTGCAACCATCTTCAAAATTCCAGATCTAGAGGAACACTTTCACTGCAGCCTAAAAGCCATGTGTACAGAAGCTCCTCCAAGCCAGCCAATCTTCTTCCCATGACATGTCAGAAAACAGCAATGTAGGCATGTAACCAAATTAAAGCCAAAACTTTCAGCCCGGTCCTTAACCTGAATAGGGAGTGCATTTAGACATGATAGTTTATATGCAGCCAAAGTAGATACTGCAGTCAGAGGTCATGGCGCTAGATTTTGAAAAGTCTTTCATAAAGAAGAGATCTCAGAAAAGCAAGTTTAAATAACATTAATGTCAAGAAAAGTCTTTCTGATTGCTATATTCTTTATCTGTCGTGACTAGACAGGTAAAAATCTATGATGGCCATTTTGTCTTTTAGGTCATTTTCTTTTTCTTTTATTTATTTCTTTTATTTGTGTTTATTTGTCTTATTTTAACAGGCTCTGTACTAATTTTCCTCACAGAATGACTAGCAGAAATACGGCCCTTACGCACCTTTTGTAATTAATTCATTAGGTCAACTCTAACCGCTAAGCCCCCTGTCAGGTTATTTCTATTAGTGATAAGGAGCAATTGACCTTAAAACATCGAAGCCAGGTAGATGAGCCTATTCCACAAAGTCTCTTGGCTTCACCCTTGTGAAGTGAAATCTGCCAGGTGGGGATCATTTGACCTTTGCTATATAGGAAGCATGAGGACTTATGGGAGGAATTGCCTCCCCAGGGGAGTTTGAGGCTCAGGTTACCTAGGGTCCTTTTCTACTGTCTTGGTGAAATGGACTCAGTGCTTCCCAATAGGCTGCTTTTTCTTCAGGTTTTCCACTATCTCTGTGAAATAGTTTTAGAGATTCTGTGAGCTAGTTATGTTGGTGGTGCCTTCTCAGGACAGGAAAACACTGGTGGTGCTGCTTCCCTTTGAAGTAGTTTAGTAGTGATTCAAGTTCAGAAGCTGGCAGGTAAGTGTTCCTGGGTTCTACAGTTGTTTTGTGTTGGGGAGTTTGAGTATTTCCTTCACCTTGTCTGTTTTCAGGGAAGTTACTTACATGGATTCTGAGCTTCCTTCCCAGCCCTAAAAAAACAAATAATGATTTAAAAAAAATATAAATAAACTCAGAAGCTGAAGTGCATGCAGGTAAGGCTGACTTTGAAGAATGTTTTCAAGCATTTGTTAAGATTGAACAACAGGCTGTATGAAAAAGGTGCCTTACAGTGAATTCAAATCTTGCTTTGTGATAAGAAGAAACAGATAGGGTAGATACTGGTGGTGTTCTCATTACTTCTGCGCAGTGTCAATTGTGAGAATGTGCTGTACATAAAAGAAATGCTTTTTTTACAATACGCAAGTCAAAAGCCTTTAAAATACTAGAAGTTACAGTTTCAATGAGATAACTTGAGAGAAAGAAACTAAGGTTGGCCATCTCCCTGGAGATAAAGCATGAAAGGAAAGGTGTCATTGTTAATAGTTTCTGAGGCAGGGTCAGGGGAAGATGTGTTTTCCCACTTGTTCACTCTCCCTTTTTTCTCCGGGTGAGTTCTGGTAGACTTCCAACAAGCCCTGGTTATTGTTATCACATCTTAAAAGAGAACAAGCATGCGTAGTACTTGGCATACTCTGCTCTGCTGCTGCCTACGTTGGCAGCAGGGGAATATTGAGCATAGGGAAGAGAGGAGGAAACTTTACTGTTCCTGTGCCATAGCATACATTGAACCAGAGACCTGGGTACTCTGGAATAAAGCTGCTAGTTACCAATTCTACTTACATGCCATCTTGAAGGTAAACATCCTTAATCATTTTCAGACAAAAAAAAAAAGGTTCTCCTTAGCCTAAATTTTCATAAACATTAATGGCATTCTGCCTGCTTTACCTTACAGGTAACTGCAGATATGGAAGGCTTACCAATATAAACCACCATAGCCTCAGAACAGAAGGCAGGAGCCTTTAGCTTGGACTCAGAGCATATCCTCTTCCCCACCACATGAGCCTCTATCACGAACTATTACAGTCATAGATGCGTAGATTTAAATGTGAAGTATGCCATGTGCTCAGCATTAGCTGACAAAGACAGGAAAGAGAAAAATTATGAAAGGAGAAAAGCACTACAGGGGGAAAAAAATATCACAGCATGGATGGAAAGTTGGATTGGAGTTAGAAAATTTGAGACAAGTTAATCACAAGACAAGAAAGGGGAGGGACAACTTGCAGTGCCAAAAAGATACATATAAATAAAATGACAGGAGCAAGCTAACATGAGAAATACTACATAGTTATGGTTCAAAAGTAAAAAATAGTGGAAAGAATACTTTGAGTGTATCTTCCAACACATACCATTCTGGCTATTTTCTGTCAGTACAGACAATGAACTAAAGTACATCTACCCCATTGTGGTGAACAAATACTACTTCAGAGATTTTTTTTCTTCTGGACCTATGAAGTTTCCAGAAGCAAACCTCTTGCTAACTAATCTGTTGTTATTGTTTGGTTTGTTTTATTTTTAATCAAGAACAATCAGCACATCTGTCTCTATGGGAGTTCTTTTATTGAACTAAAAAAAAGTTTCCAAGTAGAGAAAACAGACACAAAATTCAACTGCAAACAAACTCCCACAGTAGAAGGTTAAGGCACTTTGTGTTGGGCTGCACTCCAGTAGTTAACTAACAATTAACCACAATAACCAAAACCTCCCCCACTTTATCACACACACACAAAACTTAAAATGCCTAAATACTCATACTGAATGTGGTTGCTTAAAAGAAAGTCTCAGGTAGATAAATGCCAATTTACAATCATCTGTCTTCATTTACAGTCCTTAAGAGTCCTAGTGGAAAAATGCTTGTCTCTAATATTGTAGCAAACATCTGAAAAGAACTACAAAAAAAGTCACCAGAAATCATCACAGCACTTTCACAGATGAAACAAAAAATACAGCACAACTCCATACAAATCAATGTACTTCTCTGTAATACTACAAATCCTAGAGTCATTTTTTTAATTACTATTATTTATTTTTAGGTGCTCTAAAACAAAATTTAAAGTTGAAAAAATCAACCATGTTTTCAGCATCTTTTCTTTATTATTTCCCTTGCTACATCCCATGGAAATAAGAAGATTCTGTTTTTTAACACAAGCGAAAAAGATCTTGGAAGCACATGCCTCTATTTTTTTTTATTACTTTTTTTTGGCCGTAAATAAACAGGATATGATTTATTGCCATCTGCTCCTGTTCAGGTTTCAGAACTGGCCACTTTCCACCCTATCCAGGATGCTCAGCCCAAGCACAGCACCTTTGACAAATTCTCAGTGAAATTTCTAGGCTTGTAGGTAACACAGGTGAGACACAGAATGAGAATATGTTTTCCTGAGTAGCAGCACAGTCTAGAAAGCTTCAAGTTTGCAAGAAACCTGAAATATTTTCATTTTCCTGACTGTTTCAAAGTTTAGGAAAAAAACAAACAAAAAAACAAACAAAAATACTGTACGAGTTCTCACAGGATTATTCAATAAATGTTTAAGAAGTCGTGGATTTCACTCCATTCCTCTAACACATTTGGTAATCAACTGTTCAGCTGAAATGCATGCAGTGTCATGAGTAGTTTAAAATACACCTGCCATGTCATATATTTCACCATCCCTATAAAGAAGCAATGATGAGGACTGTTGCTCAGGAAGGGCCCCAAGAACTTGCACAGTACAAATTCTTGCGGTAATGAGGAAGTCAGACAACCACGGAGGGGCAACAAGAAGAACAGAAAGACTAGGAAAACGCAGCCTACACAAATGTTTTTAATTTATCATCTGCAGTTTGAATTAGGAAACAAATGGACTTCAAGGTTGGTTCTTCAGTGGATATTTCATTTCTGTAGATTACCACTATTTAACAGTCCAGTAAGATCTGCATACTTACTTCAAATGTCTGGTTGAGGCCAACACAATAAATTGTGTCACTATCCATAGCACAAACAGAAACAAAGTTGCACAGAATTTTCCTATTAGGGATATAATTTGGGGACAGGATGAGTAGTTCATACTCCTTGAAGAAAACACTGTTCGTAACACACAGAATTTCTGTAGAAAGCATTTTATAATTACCTTTGCAGTATTATTTTAGTAAGTGGGGCTTAATTTCCCTTTGTGGTGGAACTGTTCAAAGTTTGGCGCAATAAATAAATTTCAGAATGAGACATTTTTTTCTTAGGTGGCATCTGATAGCGTACATTCTTCCAGAATTTTGTATTTGCTGAACAAGATTTTTCTGAGACATCTCCTTTCCATTGGATAGCCCCATGTTTTTGCTTAATGTACCTGACTGATTCTGGCATGCTTGTGTAGTCCAGTATTTCATCCATTTCTATAAGAATTACTTGAGTCCCATCACGGATGAGAGCATTGTACATAGCTAATTGTTGTTCACAAGCATCTTCTAACAGGCAACTAGGTGTTTCCGATGCCAAAATAATCATCAGCCTTCTGCTTTGCTTAAGGGTTTCATCAGCAACACTGACCATATCTGAAAGAATAAACAAAGTTTGCATAGAAACTTTATAACTGATGCAAAATATTTCATAGTTTTAAATTTTTATGTGTGTATATATATATATGTATATTATATATATAGAATAGTAACTAGCTCAGAGAAAGAACTGATAGGTCTAAGATCTCCCAACTATCATCCATGATTCAAGTCCATTGCATAAAGTTGCTGACAAAAATTGCTTTCTTCAGTCCCCAGGAGCTTGTTTATCATTAGAAAGAAAATGCAGATGTTATAACATCAAAACAGAAATCTGAATATGGAAAACCACCACCACCACCAAAAACAACAACCAATTAGAAATTAACATATTATCCAATGGACAAGAGATCAAATTCTCCATGTATAAACAAACAAACAACAACAACAACAAAAACTTAGTTTTAAATTTGCTTTACAATAATAGCTGTTTTTTTGTTTTTTGTTTGGTTTTTTTCGGTTGTATATGTAATCTTCTAACCCCAACATATTAATTCTGCTAATTAAACCATACCTTCTCCTGGTAAATCATCCCTTCCTAATATAAAGAGATTATATCCACATTGTTGTTCTAAAACACTGGGGAGAATTCCAAGAACAAAGTTTTCCAGATGATAGAAGCTGCTGCCTCCACTGCCTTTTGTATACAGGACATACGCATCATAGATTTTCCCATCTAAAACAAACACAAATGTTTCTGTTAAACAGAAAGGAAGAAACAACATGTTTCTATTAGGAAACGTTTCTGTTCTGAAAGGAAGAAAATGTTTCTGTTAAACAGAAATGTTTCTGTTAAACAGCAAGGTTATTACAAGGTTTCATTCTAAAATACTTAAAAAATAGTAATAAGTATTCACACCTGCCTGACAGAATAACAGCAAAACATTAAAATGCTCTACAGGTCAAAAGGAAGATGATGAACCACAGAACCCGATCTCTTTTTCCTCTCATGGGGAGGAACATTGCCAGCAAGTGAGCCGGATGCAAGACCCTGGGGTCTGCAGGAAGGAGTCCCCAGCCCCACAGGTGCCAGGACATTAATAAAGTGTCTTATTGCAGGACTTTCTTCGCCACCTCTCCTGAAACAAACCCAACAGCAGTTCTCTCCACTTATGATGAACCACCAGAAAGGGTGGAAAAATGGCAATTCTTTCCTAATAATTATGTGAGTAAAAGGCAGATAGAGACCACAAAAAGCCTGAGGTTTTGAGAGTCAATATTGCATAATAAACAGGAGTGAAGTGAAGAAACTAAAGCAAAATTAAATTTAATTCAACAAGGTAAGTTTTGCTCACCAAGTTATGAAGCATAGTTTCTTTGATTTTATATTCCCATTAGAATATTAAAAATTACTGGAAAACTCAGCTTTTAAATGTTTACTATCTTATTGCACATAATCCATTTACTTTCAAGCTCTGGGGAACTTCAGACAATCAAATTCTAAGGGTTGCCCAAGCAAAATATCAACTATGTTGCACTTATTCCCACTTTCAACAGAAACACATATTTAATAGATAACACATAATAAGTAATAGAAACACAGAATCACAGAAGAGACAACTAGTATAATTTCTTCTCTTTGGTATGTAACCATCATAACTTGCAGGATTTATAAGAAAAGTGATGAGTAAGACAGAGAAGTTGTGCAAAAACAAACAAATCAACCAACGCTTTTCCCTGAGAAAATGGGAGTCTCATTTTTACTATAAATATTTAATTGCACATTTTTAAACAGCTAGTCTACAGGATGTAGCTCTGCTGACACCTATTGATCATCATCAGTGACCACAAATCTACACACAGATAAACTACTTTACAGAAAAGTGAGTGCAACACGCTAATTGGGGAAAAAAATATAGAGTTCTTTCTGACCATAACTCATCATAACTGTTTTAATTATTCTGCAGTGTTTATCACCTCAATTATGATTACATATTTCACCCATATGACTGAAAAAATCTTTCAGAGCATATCTGAATAATTCTCAAGGAAATTCCAAATATGTTCTATTAAATAATCATATTATTGCTTTGAAATAATGGTAAATGAAAAAAAAAAAATCAATAGGCTAGTTACAACATAATTAGTCACACTCACCTTCCTTGCTTAAAAAGGCACATCCAGAATCCCGGTACCAAAGCACCAGGTCAATCTTGAAAATCTTATAGATTATTAAAATAATAAATGTTAAAAGCAACAAAGAGAGAAGCCCTCCAATCAGCCATGTTCGTGTATCAGGAACTGCACAAAATATAATAACAATAAAAAGAAAATGTTGAATCTGTCCAAATCTGATCTTTCACACAAACGTAATACAAATTTGAATTTCATATTTTTCACTTCCACCTATTATTTTAATAATGATAAATATATAACTAGAGTGACTCCTCCCATATGCATGAGGGACATGCATAAATACACAAAGAGTAATTCTTGTGCATTCTATTGATGCTACATATGAGCTTTTGGTGTCAAAACCCCTTCTGGGAAAGTCAAGTGAAACAAAGGCCACAAAAAATAGCAGTAGTCCTTACCTCTGTGTTTTAATATAATATAGGATGCAACCTGCCCAAAGGCATTTGAAGCTTGACAGACAAATGGTTGTTCATAATCTTCACTATTCACTTCTGAAATTATGAGCTTCACAGAATAGATAGGGCGTCCATCATAAGAAGTTTCTTCCCTATGCAAAAGATGACAAACTGAGCCATAAAAACACAGTCCTTTCTGTAATGGCTTCCTCACTAATAGCTGAAACATGACAATGGTCACTTCTATCTGCAAATGTCAACTGAACTTCAGTAACAGCAGATGAGTAACTGCATTACATGAGGGACACCCAAACAGCAGTTGGGCCTCTTACTGAGGTTTAGCATAGACATCAGAAAACATGAGCCAATCCTATCAGGAGCTGTGTCCCCAAAAAATATGATATATATAGACTACAGTACAAACATATATCTTACAAACATACCCCCCCACACCTTGTTACAGGGGATTCTCAGCCCCTGTGGAGAGCCCCAGTGCTTGGCTGAAGAGAAAATTGCACAACATGAAATGACTTAACAAGTGGCCCCAGCACAAGGACGTCATCTTCTGGTGAACAGTTCTGGGACAGGGAAGACAATGAAGTTGTCAACCAAAGCAGACAACACTAACTCATGATGCGTTCCATCTGCAGGAAATAGGATCTACACTGCTGCTTCATCCCAAGAAACAGAATAGTCTCTGAACAGCTATAACATCAGGCTGCACCATTACAACATGTGATATTGTAACAACAGGTTATTCCCATTGCATAAGGGCACACACACACAACAAAATTACTAAAGCTGCACATTCAATTAGTCGTGTTCTGTTTTGTGTGACTGATGTTCAAACTAAGTAACTTTTTAACAATCAGCAAAATAAGGGATATTACTACCTCATTAACAGTAGATCTCAAATGCAAAATTAACTAACCAGCCTACTTAGCAAATAACTTTTCGTCCTTTAAAACACACTCTAATTATCATTTCAAATGCAAAATAATAAAAAAAAAGGCTTGAAATAAATCATAGAAAGCACATACAGGACCACACAGATCAGTATATAACCAATAGGTTATAGCAGTTTGAACACTGTAAGGAGTGAATGAATCAACATCATTAATACAAATGACTAGATCCAGAGAATATTATGCTTGCAAATATAACAAGACAACCATTTAAGTGTTAGGAAATATAAAAAGTAACATCACTTTTATGATATCAGCTCAATGACTGTATTATGGTCAAATTGTTTATGACATCACAGTTGTTTATGACAGTTACAAGATATGACTTCTCTGTAGGGTTTTCTCTAGGTGAGCACTAAAAGAATTCAGCATTTATTTCCCCCTTTGTTTTACAATGAGGACTTAATAATTTCTCAGAACCATATTCTTACCTTGAAGATATCATTCTCATTTCTTCATCAGTTTCTACCCCACAGATGGTGCTTGAGAACGTATAAAAGCAATCACATTTATTCTTCATAGCACCACCGTGAGATGAGGGCTGACAAAAAAGCTAGCTTTCAGCTCCTTAGTTCCCAACCAATCGTATCTATGAAACTTTTTCAGATTTCCTTCTGCTTCACTTTTAGTTGCCTTTCCAAGTCAGGTCTACTTTTTTCCCTCCTAACTCCACTTTCCTCTTTTCATCCTCACCTTATCTCACAATTGCTTCACTCAGTCTAAATCTCAGTCTTCCTCCCAGACCACAACCCATCATTGGAAATCTGTCTTACTTTTCTCCTCTCACTCCACTAAGCTTTAGTGCACATCCTTAACAAAATCTTCCATTAGCTCTCTACCTGATCTCAGTTACACTTCTCTAACTCAAGACTGTTAAAACTAGAAGTCTCAGTTTCTCCTGTAAAGCACAGGTTATCCTTCTTGTAACCTTTCAGAGAGGTAGATGGGAAGGACAAGGAGAACACTGGAGAGACAGTCTGAAGATCATGTGGCAGGACATGCTTGACCCCACTGAAAGAGGTCTCAGTCCTCTGGGCCAGAACTTGCTCAATAGAAAATGCACTACAGTTGTGAGACTGTAAGCCTCTGTAGGACACCTTTTCCCAAGGTCAGAAATTTAGACAGATTTTTATAATGACTAGAAATAGCATAATTCACACAAAATCCATGCACCTACTACATTTCAAGTTTCCACATCAAACTGAAAGTGAATGGAGGAGGCAAGCATTTCATGTAAGAGTGAGAAAGTTCCGCTTTGGTTGCCAACCCAGTATTTTCTGATCTGAAAATATACTTACTCATAAGGCCTTGCAAAAATTCTGCTCATATAAAATACATCAATATACACACCGTTGCCTGTCCAAAACACTTCATACCCATCAGCACCTGTTGTATTGCAATCCACTGTAACCTGTGAGCCTATAAAATTGTGTTACAAAGTGAAAAGTTAATTTTCATACTCTAGAAGCTATACAGTTCTGTTCACAGACTCCCATATAGACCAGCTAAGGAAGGCCCCTCATCCTTTCAGAAAAGCTCCTCTAATAGTGCCTATACATTCAGTGATGTGCTGTTTCAAAAAGAGACTGATAGGATGGAAGAGACCAAATCAGGAAGATATCTCCCTTTGTGGTATCACTTTCCCTGCAGATTCAGAGATGGATTTCTTTTCAGAACCTCTTTCAGAATGATGGAAAGCAATGGATGTGACAGAGATTCACTTGGTTTCCCTATAACTGTCTTTGCATCTGAGAAATTTCCCTACAGCTTTTCTATGGCTTTTTAAGCAATACCCCTCATCTCTTTCCTTCCCACCCCCAAACACTTCTGCAAGAGACTGCAGGATGTAAAGGAGAAACTGTTCTGGTCACTGAACTAGTTTTTGTCTAAAGAAAACAAGCACACACTCTTCTTGGGCATGAATTTTCACTAGGATACAAAATCATATTTTTTATAGGGAAAATTACTTACCAAGTTCCACTTCAATGGAGTTGTTCCGTGGATAAGATATTTCTGGAGGCTTTTTTGGTGGGCTCACTAAGCAAAAGATAGAAAGTCCTTTTTAGAAAACCAGGGACAGATGCAGCCTGTTCTATGCTCTATAACCAAACAACAACCTAAAAACACCCTGCCCTATGGACAAGGTTGACAGCAATTTTACAACAGACATCACTCAATAGTCAGTGTCATATCTAAGACAGTCATGTTACTTATGACTTGAAGCTCAATTATTCTTCACTCCACCCTTTCCAAAATGTAGTGCTACTAATCTGATGTCATCATGGTGATGACAGACTCTCTGTTCCATAACATATAAATCATGTAATATTGCATGCAGAGGTGCAGAGAAGGATATGGGTAAATTTCTATATTATTACCATTTTACAGTCTGTCTAGCTTATCAGTCAGCAACTCACAGATACAAACTGGAGATAAATAATTTTAGACTGCAATTTATCTGTTTTAGACTTTCAATATTATAAAGGTGAAATTAAATTTCTGTACTCCATTAAAGGCCTTACAGTTCTGCCCAGAGCACTATCTAAAGGAAGTACAACACCAACCTTCCTGTTTAGATGTTTACATTAGTACTAGGCATACAACCCTCTGGAAAGTTTCTTTCTCTGTACAAGTTACAAAGGGAGAGTAATCAACAGAGTGGCAACAGTAGATTAACATATATAAATTCTCATGTAGCATTAATTTCCCTTTTTTAGGTGCAAACTAAGAGTCCTATGTGTGTCTACCACAAATTGAATATTTTAACTGTCATTAGAAACCTGGACAAAGTTTTGTAGAGTCCTTGTTATAAACAAAAAGTGAATTTATCTACTTACCTGCTACAGTCAGAATAACATCTCGTGAAATGTTATATTGCTTTCCATTGTAGATATATGTTGTTTTGCAAGTATAGTTTCCTTGATCTTGCATAGTCACATTGAAAATCACAAGATCACTGTTTAAAAAGGCAAACCTTCTCCCTTTTAATAGCTGACAGTCCTAAACATGGGTAAAGAACTCACATCACTATCACATGATTTGTAACTCTTTAATGCAATCTGAGCTTTCATTGGACCACAACGTAAGGATGGATTCCTTGTAGGGCCTGAGGAAGGGGAAGGGGGCTAAAATAGAAGCAAACCACACTTCATTTTGACTCTGGGTTTCTAATTCACAGATACACCCATTATTCTCATATTAATATATATATATATATATATATATATATAAAAGAGAGAAATAAGGAAGTGACATGGAGGGGTCAGGTTTTATAATAGTATTTGTTAATGAAGAATCACTCAATAATTAGACTTAATTTTTTCAAGTACTCAAATATTCACAGTATCTTATAGACTGCACAGGCATGAGGCGGTAATGCTGGAGAAGGCAATATGTTCTTAACAGAAAGAGCCGTAAAATAATTGTAAACAATACAAAATGACATTTATTTGATGGAGCAATACTGAACACACAATGGATATGCTTTGGCTCACAAAGCACATACTGTTTCCACGCAAATGAAATGAATGACAGTGTTTCACTAGCATGTTAAAAGATGCCACCTAGTGGATATATGGGTCAAAGCTACATTTAAACTGAATTTCTATCCTATTATTCAAAAAAAATGTATATAACTTTAGAAGATGTCTTATTAGACACCTTATTAGACATTTAGAAGTCTTATTCCCCCTCCTCCAGTTGTTCTAAAATAATTTTTCCTCACATTTATAATAAATATGGAGTTTTTCTCCTACAATAAATAAACCTCAGTTACTTATATTTTAAATAATTGATATAATAATTAAATAATTTATGTCAATAAAAAAGAGGGCATTGTTACCTTATACCAGCGAACAGGCAGAATATTCTTCTCATTCCTGAAGTAATTCAAGTGTGGACACACAACCTTTGCAGATGATAAAGTAAATACCACCTCCTCTACAGCAAATTTTTCGTTTAAGCATGAACCATTAATCCTCTCAAAAACCGTTACTTTTGTAGACATTTTGCTGCAGTTTGTCAAATTCCTGCAACTAACATAACATAATTAAGTTAAGCTACTTGACATATTTTCCAACTCAAAAATGTATTGTATTCTTTTTGGAAGAGAAAGAGAGGACTACAATTTATAATTTCTCTTATAGATTTATTTTTGCCTACTATTAAATAAATAAATAAAATAAAAAAGACTTACATCCCCCAATACCAATATAAAGTTAGTTTTTGTGAACATATTCCCCCTTCTTCTCCCTTCTTATTTAGTATTTCTCTTACCCAAAAAATCCTACTTGCTTTTTAAAAGTTATTCCATTTACAACTCATTTCTATAGCAATTTAATTTTTTTTTAACCTTCACCTTATGACACATTCATAATCTCCAGAATCTTCTAACATTGCAGGGAGAAACCAAATTAAATTCTTCTGCTGATGAATTCTAGAAAGTTTGTCTCTAGGCACAGCTGTCTGGTTACCAACTTTATACCATGTTAAGTTGTAGTCTCCACTTTTAACATTCAAGCTCTTTTCCAGAGAACATGTAATAGCAAGAGGCTGCCCAGCAGGCACAAGACTGTGCCTAAACATCACATCATAGGCTTCATATTTCTCTAAAGGAAAGAGATAAACGTTAAAGAAAACCTCAAACATTGTGAAAGAATACACTGAACTAATATATTGATCATGTTTACTAAGTTTATTGTAGTGTTCACCTTCATTCTTACGTCATTTACTAAAATACAATTATAATCCCTTGTCTTTGGAGTTGAGAGCATTATTCAATAATATACAGATACGCTATTGAAGTGAAATGTTTTTTTCCAAATGCTATGTTTAACAGAATCACTTTGCAGCTGATTGTCATTTGTGTGTTTTAGTTCAGATGCAAATGATTAGAGTCCTTGTATTTCTTCAGTCTGTTTCACTCGCATAATATGCATGTGCACACACATTTTTCAAATTTAGTGTCTTTATTTGCTACTTTCACTTAAGTATAGGCAAAGTAAGTTTTCAAGGCAGACTATACTTGCAGTACCCAAAAGTCCTAAGAGGACAATGAAAGTTAAAGTTGCAGTTGTACAAGAATTAAATTTGCTATGGAAATTTCAACTCACCCCTCATTTTATGAGCATCTAGAGAGGAACTTTTACAAGCACTTATGATGAGCTCATTTTCTTTCCCCTGAACCCAAGGAGATTCAGATGGGAAAAGAGCAACACCACAAGAATTTTTATTTTATTTATTTATTTATTTTTTGTCAGTACAACAGAAAAAGCACCAACTCGGGATACGTTGGTCACATTCCAGAGTCAGTACTACTTATCTAAAATAACTTGTTTTACTAGAATGCAAGAACAGCCATGCACGGCCATGCAAGCGTCTGCCCAGTCCAAAAGCCTGTCTCTGATAACAGTCAGTTCCATATGTATAAGAAAGTAGGACAGAATGTGTAAATTAATAGTTTGTTTCCAGCCCCTCTCTTCCCTTTCATGCTCTTCATGAAAAGCTATTGCCTTTTATTATTTCTCTGGGTATTATTTATTTCTTGTAATAAGAAATGGCAACATAAACATTCCATTATCTGCCTACTCTCTTGTAGTTGTGATTTACTGACCTCTGCCACACCTTCCCTATGTCATCTCCTTTCTTTACCTCAGAATCCTCATTCATTTAATGACTTCTCATATGGAAGCCATCACATCTCAGACAACACAGTCACCTACTTCTTTGCCTATTTTGACCCAGTCTTTCCCAGATGGAATAATCAGAACTGCAGTGTTCAACTGATGCACATTTGCCATGAAGTTATACAGGGCATAACAAAGCCTTGTTTTCTAATGTATTTCTTTCCTAAAATTCTGCTTTTCTGACCATCAGTTAAGACACAGATAATGATTCCAGAGAGCATCCAGAGATGTCAAAGTAGTATTTTTCCCAAGAATTTCTACCTTAATGTTCTCACCATCCAGTACGCGCATATATCCTACATGCATACCAAATTACTTAACAAAACACTGAATAGCTCAGATATCTGTACAGACTGCTCCATAATAACTTTGATGTTTATGAAATGAAGACCAGTAATTACTTGCTGTGGCCACACAAATTGATGCATTTTTCTGCCACTAAGTCCTAAGGCTTGGAAATAGTATCATATTTTGAGCACTTCCTGCTTTACATTCTCTAAAATCCCTCTCCCCCAGTGCTGACCATTATTTTAACTCAGCTTCAAAAACAGAATATCCAAACGACTGGTGAGTGTAGGAACTTGTCCATCCACAGACAATAGAAACTCAAGGAATGGAAATCCAGAGTATTTTTCTTCTATCAATCTGGCACTGCAGCAAGATTCTAGGTAGTAAGACAAGATTATTACAGCAACTCATTTGATCCAATTGAAAAGTTTTAACATGCACTTGATTCTTGGTTGACAGCTTAAGGGCAGAAATTAAACTGAATACTCTTGTAGTTTTACAGAAATCTAGATGTTGTATTAATTGTCAAATGGCTGTATTTTCCAACATGGAAAAAAATCACATGAACACACTTTAGAAAGTTATAGCTACAATTCCTTTCATCAGTTCATACACCAGAGAGTTGTGTTGCCATTCAGAGGAACCTCGACAGGCTGCAGAAATGAGCTGACAGGAGCCTCATGAAATCCAACAAAGGCAAATGCAAAGTCCTGTACATGGGGAGGAATCCCCTCAGGCTCCAGGAGACTCCAGACTACCTTCAGGTCCTGGCAGACCATAAGCCAGAAATGCTTGGTCATGGCAAAGGTAGCTAAAGGTGTCCTGGGCTGCATTAGAAAGAGTGCTGCCCACAGGCTGAGAGAAGAGATCCTTCCTGCACTCAGCAATGGTGAGATGCATCTGGAGTAGCACTTGCTAGTACAAGAGAGAAATGGATTTACTGGACTCTAGTGAAGGGCCACAAAGATGAGTAAGGGACTGGAGCATCAGAGAGACCAAGAGAGCTGGGACTGTTCAACGTGAAGAGAAAGCTCGGTGGTGGGGTGGATCTTATCAATGTGTAAACATATACACCTGATGGAACAGAATGAAAAAGAGGGAGACAGCTTCTTCCCAGCGGTGCCCACTGACAGGACAATAGGCATGAGATGCACTGAAACACATGAAATTCCATCTGACACAAGAAAATACTTTCTTACTGTTCGGGTGATCAAACACTGGAACAGGTTGCTCAGAGAGGTTGTGGAGTCTCCATCTGTGGAGATGTTTAAAACAAAACTGAACATGGTCCTGGGCAACCTGCTCCAGCTGACCCTTCTTTGAGCTGGTAGATTGGACTAGATGATCTCAAGAGGTCACCTACAAACTAAGTGATTCTGTGTAAGATAGTACATAAGATATCACACTTTATAGGCTCCTGATTTTAGAAATGTTTTTTAAAAATCTTGCTGGCATACACATAAACTTAACCTTCACCATTAAATCTAATTTTCAGCCATTTTCACAGAAAATTACTATTACTTATGTGAAAAGTTAAGTTTCCAAACAAGGCATTCCATAGCCACCAATGAACCTACCTGCAATAAGTAAAGACAGAAATGCTGTTGTGATCTTACAGGAAAGTAATGTTTTTGCTGTAATGTTTCCCTACAGAAAAGGAAAGAAAACCTTGAATTAGTGTTTTCCAATATAAATTTCCACAATTGAAAATCAACATTTGCATTACACAGTTTCTATAACATATTCAGTGTCTTTTGACAACTGTACTTTTCTCATATAAGTGTATTCACTTCACATGTTTGTAGCATATTAAAAGGAACCATCTACCTTACAGGAAAATACAACCATCTCTAGGATTAAAAAGCAATAATTACGAGGCCACCCCACTACATAACATGCTTTCTCTTAGAAAAGGAAGGCTCAATTCTGATTGAATGTGACAGGCAACTAGCTATACATAAGAATGTGTATGCCAGCAACATCAGAGGTCCCTCAAAAGCAATATCCTGTCTCAAGCTGTGGCCAATATCAGATGACTTGGGAAATAAAGTGCAAGAGAACAAGAATATACAGACATTCCTCTGGAATAGTCTCCTAGAATCCATCAAATCATGATTTAGGAAGCTATGCCAGAGTCAGTCTCTAGATACTTGATAGCCCCCAGCAGATTTTTTCCCACGAAACTAGTCCAACAACCTCCAAAGCCATTGAAACCATGGCAAGGAGCCACAGATTTTAAATACTGACACAGAAAATTGCCTTGACTTGTTTTGAGCCTATCTGCTCTTTTTATCTGACAGCTCCTAACTTTTATACCAGAAGAGAAAAAAAAATAATGAACATTTCCTATTCAGCTTGTCAAGCACTCAGAATTTTCCACGTCTCTAGCACACTCCTCCCCAGTTTTTGTTTTTACAAGTTAGTTTTCATCTCTTTAACTGTCCCTTAGATGGAGCCTGATTTCATACATCTGATCATCTTTGCCACCATCTTCTGTACCTTCCTGGAGATCTCCAAAGGCCACCTGGAGATGGTCCTGGGCAGCCTGCTCTGGGTGGCCCTGCTGGAGAAGGGGTTGGATGAGGTGGCTTCCAGAGGTCCCTGCCAACCTCATCCCCTCAGTGTGATTCCCCAGGCACACTACAGCCTGCCTGAGATAGTGAGGAAAAACCAGAAGTGGCATCCAATCATCAAAACATAGGTGTATTATAGATTTATGAACGGAAACAATTATTTATTCTGGACTAATTTCTAATAACTTCATAGTAATTTCTAAACTTCTATTCATTCTTTGACTACGACTAAGTATTGACCTAATATTTTCATGGGCCTGTGATCGCATCACTGAGTGTTAAAAAGTCAGGGAAGCCCAGTCAGCCACTCTGTATGTGATGTTAGTATTTCACCCATATGTTTTCATTTAAAATTTTCTTTACATTTACCTGCATCGCTATCGTGACATCTTGATGACACTCTTTGCAATTAACACCTCCACTTTTTACCCTGAATAACTTTGTATTGTCAGCAAATTCTGCCACTGCAACAGTTCTGTATTTTCCAGATCATTAAAAAAATAGGCTGAACAGAAAAGATTCACTTGGGACTCCACTGGCGATCTTCCTCCACTTTAGAAACTGAGCATTTATCTTTTAACTACTTATTTATACATGTGAGACTACATATACCATAGCAGTCTGGATTCACTGAGTGCTCTGCTGAATGCCTTTTGGAAATTAAGACAGATTATATTAACCATTTCTTCTGCAGCCAGTGTGTTCACATACACATCTACACTTCTAAAACACTTGTAGTGTTCGTGGGCCATGACTTCCCTTCACAAAAGTTAATGCTGACTCCATCCTTATATAATGCGTTGAAAATTTTGCTAATTCTATTCTTGAAAGCTACCTTCTGCAGATACCTACTACACTTTTTACACAGCTATGAAAGAAAAAAATGCAGTTATACAAGCTGAAGAACAATCAGGAGAATCCCATCCTGATGTTAAAAACCTTTAGCTAATCACCAACCTAAACAATAATCAAATATGATGCTTCCGAATCTGTATCTTTCTTCATCAAACTGACTCAGGAGTGTGCCATACATTGAGTCATACCCACTGCTTCTTGCAATGCCTGCTTTGCTCCTTCCTCCCCTCCTCTTCCCTCCTCCCTCATTGCAGTTTCCGTTCTAATTACCAGGCACGTCTTTTCTTGCTTAGCTTTAAGGAGTTAAGTCCCCACAAGAACACTGAGCATAAAAAGAAACACGCTAAGCTCTAAATCACCAGAGGCGTTTCATGTGTGTTTGTACAAAACTCCACCTTTCTTCACTAAATGTGATGAATAGACAGTCATTCTTAAAATTTATATATTTTAGTTTTAAAGAAGATGAAAATATTTTAATGGAAATAATTTAAAGAGAAAACAGGACTGAATGGACTCCACTTTTGACCAGGTATTTTCTTTATAACTTTTTGAATCATTTTTTAATAAGCTTTGTTCTATTACCTTACCATATTACTCTGTCTCAATTTTTTTTTGTCGTTGTTTTGTTTTGTTTTGTTTTTATCTTGCCCTGTTGCCAACATGGAAGAGCTGCAAATAATATAGCACTGTGTAAAACCAGGCACATGAACTGCTCTGAGGGGACCCACACTACTTATCCGAAAAAAAAAATTCCATTTATATTTAAGTTATATCCAACAGCAAAACAGGCTCTGTTCTGTAGACATGTTTTCATAAATCATGCTGAAAATAATAAAGTATGACTGCAGAGTCAAGTGCAAATGTTTTTCCTACCACATTATGCCATGACAAACAGTTGAATTTCTCCCTTTTCCCAGCCATTTTGTCCACATCTTGAGTCTGCAAGTGACCTGTAGAGCTTTACCACTCGGGACAGAATTCAGCTGCTATTATTTTTGCCCAAATTCTCCAGAGGGGGAAAAAATCATTGTATCTGAGGCCATGTCCACAGTTTCACCCTGAAAGGAAATATCCTCATCAGTTTAAAAGACAGACAGACAGGCAGAAATATCTGAAAGACACTTCTGTTTAGCCCTTTCAAAGTAGATATACTTGATTAAAAAATAAATAAATAAATAAATAAATAATAATAATAAAAAAAAAAACAAACATAGTCTCATCAAAACTTTGAAGAATCATGGCTTTCAGTAATTACTGCACACTCACAGCACTTTTTCTTTGAATGTCTTGTTCAAACACATGGATGGATTAAAATGTGTTAACACTCCCGTTCTTGGAACTGAAGAGAACTAACACACACAAGACTATGACACCGTTTCTTTTACATAAACCCACAAATATTTTAAATCAGAAAATGTATATACATACATACTACCTTAAATGTTTCTAACTGCACAGTCTGCCCTGACTCTTCGTGAGAACTTGTCAAGTCCCTCTCGGTTGCAGCAAATGCCTGTGCTCGCAATACAGCTGACGCTGCAGAACTGTGTTAGCCCGCCTGTTCAGAGGTGGTTACGGAACCAGGACTTTCGTTTGTGATCTATTTTTAGCCATTTTTCTGTGAATCACCCACATCCCTTGCCACGCAGGGGAGCAAAACGCTTTACAGCATTACAATTTTTACCTATTCCTCGAAACATGCATGTGAGTGGGGCAGAGGATCTGAGCATAGTGGCACTCCCGGTCCCCAACCAGCCTGTGCTGAGCAAGCCAACAGCGCTGTGACGGGCTACGCACACCCATCCAGCCCAGGAGCCAACACTTAAATTCAGAGAAAAAGTACTTGCAGAAATCCTCTCCAAAACTGAGTCAGATCAAACCACGCATTACTCGCGGAGGAAAACGCTGACCTTTTATGAAATATTTCACCCCTGCTTGTAAACAGTTTCCAGCCCTGTTTAGCCAAAAGACAACACTTTGGTCAGAGACACCACCCTGCCCCCTGTCTCCCCACCCTCTCCCCCCAAAAAAAACAGGACCTGGAAGATTACCTGTACACCTGTACCGATTTTCCTGGAGGGAAAGAGGGATTATCCCGACCCGGCTGATGCCAAATGACTTGCAACACGACTGACAAGAAGAGCATGGGTCCCTGCTCCGAGCTCACATCGGCTGCTGCCCTACTCAAGCCCTGCTCCCAGACACCTAGCTCAGGCTGGTGGGCACCTTCCTGATCCCCCCATCCCCGGGGGAAACCCCACTGCTGTCTACCTGCTGCCTGGCTCCCCGGCAGTCTGTGTAGGGGCTGAGGGGGGTGCGAGGGGCCCCTCACCCTGTCCTGTGGGCAGCTCCAGCCGGTGGGGCCTCCTCTTCCCTTTCCACTGTTCGCAGGCAGCGGCGATGGTGGTGGTGAGGCAGCCCCACGTCAGGGCTGGGCTCCCCTCCCCACCCGGCAAGCTGTTACCTCAGCTGCAATCGCAACAGACTGTCACTGACTTCTTTTTTTTTTTCTATTTTTTTTGCCTTGTTTTTTTCTTCTTGTATCACAGGCAGCTTCTTATCGCTGCGGCAGAAGCACGCTTCTGTAGCTGAGGAGGTGGTGTGCCTCCAAGGCGGAGGTGCCAGAAGGAGCCTCTCGGGGACACCAGCTGTTTGTTAGCTTTTTCAAGAGGTTGCCTTGACAGCTTGGTCATGCCGTGAGCTATTTTGTGGTTCAAACGTGAACATACTGGTGTAGTCCCATCTCACTGATGAGCTTTTACCTGCAAACTCAGCACGTATGAAGAAGCCCTGATGGGGTGTTTGGAGGTTACTTAGTTTGCGGCTGCTCTAGGAGCGCTGTGTTTGCAATACGCCAGTGTGTGGGGCTCTCTGCTTCACTCACACGCCACTGCTGGACTCAGAGCTCTTCAAAACCACATGGCCAGAACAGATTCAGACACAAGCATTTTAACGCTGTAGCTTGCTGATTAACTTACCTGAAAATACATGGTCAGATAGAGCAAAGCACGTTCCTAGGTTCCTTCCAAAGTAATCAGAAATCACAGGCACTTTGGGACTGCCGAGGCAGGTTCTCATTCTTGGTAAAAGTACACCGTAAACACATTTGCTGAACTCGCTAAGCCAGTTATAAACACTTCAGGAAAGCTGTGGAGAATAATCGTTGCTTATCCTGTTTGTCCCACCCTGCTTTTTTTGTTGTGCTTTCCGGCACTATTTCCAAATTGTATCTACCAAATACAAACACATTCTACCATCCTGCTCACCACATGACAACCACAGATTAGATGAGGTAAGATAAGAGCCGAAGCTCTGCTATGCCTGCGTATGTTGCCCTCCACCAAAGGGAGGTACTTAGTGCTGGCTGCAGGCGTGTTGTAACAGCTCCAGGCGTTATCCTGTTGGGAGGAACACAGAGAATGAACTCATTCCTGGCTCAATAAAGAGTTAAGGATTTACGCAGTCACCTCCTCTGTCTTTTGTCAGCAATTATACCCGTATTTCATTTTGAAAATGTTTCTTACGCACTTACTGCTTAAGGTCAAATTATTTTTATGTAAGTTTTCTAGTTTCCATGTTGTTATTTTGCACTAACAAAAACATCTGTGGGTTCAAATCTGTTTATCATAAAGACAAGCGAGGGGTTTCATAATCTGTTCTACTGCTTTTTTTTTCTAGAAGCACTAATTAAAAAAAAAAAAATCATTTTTGAAGAATACCGAGACATACAGATAGGAGGTTCTGCTGAGTGAATCACAGAATGGCCAAGGTTGGTAGAGACCTCTGAAGTATTCCTTTTTTTCTCATAATTTCACTATAATATCCCTAATAGTGAAAAAATGTTTCTGGTTAACAAAACGTTGTTAAAACATTACCAAAATGAACAGGTAAAATGAGATCTACTCAATCATTCAACTTTGCAGAGACTGGTAAGAATTAGAATTCAGCAAATCCTCTGGAGGAATATCACCTGAAATGACTGGGTTTCATGAGACAGCAAAATCCGGGGGTACGTCACACCTGAAGTACAGAATTTGGCTGCTACAAGTCAAAAAGGCAGGGAAGACCAGAGAAGTCCAACACCTGACATTGGTTTGCATGAACATCTGATGTTGTCACCAGGACCACTTCAAAGCAGACCAAGAACCACCAGCTCCAGCAACAAAGCCATGAAGCTCTGAGGCAGAATGATGTTGCAATTTGCACAGGGAGGACTCTAATTCAACTTATCAGTGCCATCTTCAAAAACGGATTGCAGCAGAGCAATGATCATGACATGGCTTATCTTTCTGTGACTGAGGAGGTGATAATGAGTAATGAGACCAGATTTGTGTGTAGAAGTTGGTATATTTCATTTTTCCCCAAATGATGTATTTCTCAACTAGGATCTCTCTGTGAAATCCTTTTTTTTTTTTTTTGATTTTTTTTTCCCACCTTGGATAGTATTTCATTGATAAATGATATATAAACAATGAGAATACCTGAAACAAATATTTCACTCCTTCTGCAAATCAGAGCGAGAATGTTCGCTGCTGTACAGGTGGGAAGGAAGTTGGCTGACAACAGTCTGAAATAAAACCTCTTGATATGTGCATTGGGTGGAGACCAGGTCTTCCACACCTGTCGAGTTACCCTGCAAAATTCAGGGCAATGCTTGCTTATATAGACCTAAGCTATGGTACTAACATGAAGCACTCTCCAACCTTCTTTTTTTTGGGGTGGAAGGAAGGGAGTGGAGGGGAGACAGAAAGGTGTGTGGGTTGTGTGTTTGTGTTTTTTTTAGGGCAAGCGACAAAAGCAAGATATGTAATTGCTACTTTTTAAAAGGAAATGATAGAAATCAGTAACCTTGTGCTTTACCTGTTCCTGGTAAACTATGCCTTCTGCATGAAAAGAGATTCTAGTCATAGCACGTCTCTAAGACAGACGGAAGTCTATTTAGGGCAAAGCTATCTGGTTCATAGCCACAGTCTTATTTTTTTGCTTTTGGCTACAATATACATTCATCATATTTCTTTCTCAACAGAAACTAAAAAGGTTAAATCCAAACCTAACAGAACTTTAAAGCCCTTTTTTGTATATTTTCCTGCAATTTCTACTTTAAACTTTGCTAAAGATGTTGGGAATATCTTTGCACAGATGAAACACTCTGTTGAATCTACAAAATATATCACAAAATGTATTTGCAGGTAATTATCTTAGATCACTTTAAAGCTGCATGAAACAGGCTGGTTTAGTACTGTTCATCCAAAAATCAGGTACCTAAGAATGTCAAGGCTGCCTAAATGTGCTTTCAGTGCTAAGAATGTGTAATTCTATTTTACTGGACAATCAATTCCACTTTTGGTTTTAACACCGAGCAACTAACTTAGCATTTACATCCATTTTACAGGACTTTTTCTGGACTTACAGGTGTGGTAATGCAGCATCTTGCAAATTATTCACCAGTAAAGCATGGGAAATAATTTGTATTTCTAGAAGAAACATCTAGTTTCTAATAATTAAAGAAAAAGAAAAAAAAAAAATGACCAGGGTGAAGTGCTTTGTGCTAATGTTGTACTGAAACCAGATTAAACCCATGTTAGTGAGACCCTCTCCCCTCCACTCCCAATTCTGGGAAAAGTAGCTTGAATGGAGAGCTAGTAAAAGCCATTTTGATCGATACACTTTCAAACCAAGACAGCTGTTTGCCATTCTTCATTCACAGCGTGCTTCAGTGGAGGAATGAGGAGAAAAAAAAAGCAATGCTGTAAGAAAAAATTGTGTAGTGTTTTATTGAATTAAAAGTGGACCTCTCTTCAAAGTGTCTTTACATAACACACAGCAAAACTTCAGCAGTCATATAAATATAGCAAAAGGGACAAGTATCAAAAAAAAAAAAAAGTATTTTGGCTCAGTAAAATAACTTTCCACCAAAGGTAGGCATAACAAGTAGCAGTTTATCATACAATCTATTCCAGACAGCAAAAATAAGAATAAAAATTCAGGAGGCCAGAGGTTGCTGGAGCTCTGTTGGCTGGCCTGCAAACCACAAACTGTCAAGGTGGAAATACAAAGTCAATATTATGCACTAGTCCTCAGGGTATAAACACAGCATTTCCAGTGTCTAGTCTTCACATTTGATATAGGGATCTTCTGACAAAAGAGTTCCAAAACCAAACCACTAAATCTGTCCCACTAAATTCTTCTGTCAATGTGAACCATAACAATTAGCACATTCGCCATGCCCAGATGGATCTCAGTAACTTGGGATGGATCTCAAGGCTCTTTTACCCTCCCCCAACAGGCTGTCACCAAACACACACCATATTAAAAAGGAGATTTAGTGCAACAGCTTAGTGAATGTGGCACTTCACGACCAAAAGTGTTTCTTCCCTGACATTTTTGTCTTGTATAAAACACACAAAACACACAATGAGAACAGAAGATAAGCATACGTATTGGTCTGTACATAGATGACATTCATCAATAAAACATTCCAGTATCATGAAAGTTGGAGATAAATCTTGACATTTCAAATGCACGTTTTTCCCTTCCTATCCTGAAGGGAAGAGGTTCTTACGCCAGTCTGGTCAGACACACTCAACACACGAAGCTTGAAGCTCAGAAGGCACTGTTCCCCAGAAGCAGGGTTTCAGATTTCCAGCACACACTGAGGTAACCAAATAACTTCAGGTGGAAGCTATTTCCATTGGTTTTATTACTAGTGAGGCAGAACACAAGAGTCACAGCATCCCATCGTCACTTGGCAGTTCTGTGGGATGGCACCTCACATTATCAGTTTCTTTTGGTTGAAAATGGAGGGCAGAAAAGCCATGAAAGAAGAAAAGGCCAACAAAGACTGTAGTGTCAAAATGAAGGAAGCAGTCTTCAAAGAGCTGAAGAATTCCAAATGATGCAGAGCATTATTTTTTTCAGATGAACTCAAAGGCAAAATTTCTGCCTAATACTGTATTAGCAACAGCCTTCAAGTACAGCTTGGAAAGCACTGGAATTTGACACAGTAGTAAGATAGTTGTTCTGCGGTAAGGGAGCTGTATGAGAAAAGATTTGCTGAAATTTGATTTGGAGGAGAACAAAAGGTGCTGCCAGACAGCAGGTAATAGGGCACAAACACAAACAGGAATTCAGAGTTGCAGTTAAAGCAGTTAAAGGCAGATCTGAAACTCTCGCTAGAAATAAATCATCACAATCTACTCAGAAGTCTTCTCTTGAATGTCTGTACTAAGATAATTATTAGCACTGGAGCAAACAATCACACAGGAGTTAGTGTACACAGCTTCCACCCCCAACCCAGCTAAATTTCATTTAACATATGGAAAAGCTGGAGTTGGAAATATCTTGTTATTCTGATTTGTATCAAGAAAAATCACCATAGGTCTCTGCCTTACCTATGCCTACCTGCATGCTTTGCAACTGCCATATAAGCCAAGACTTCACTTTAAAATTATTAACAAACCTTTTGCCTTTTTCCTGCTACTGCACAATCAGCAGAGTTGTTATAGTTCTCCCTTGGAAATGCAGTCAATAGTTCATTAAACCTACATTTTAAAAATCACAAAAATGGTGTAATATTTATCTTCCCCAAACACTATTAAAAAAAAAAAAAGCAAAAATCCCTACCCACAGAAGCAGAGCAATGCCTGTGTAAACTAACTTGAACCACGGGTTAGTTTCCGGATTAATATACAATTCATCAAACTCTGAAATTGTCTAAATTGTTCAGGAGAACCAGATATGCCTTATACTCCGATCACACAGCCCACTTGTAACAGACACACGCTGAAGCTTCCATACATAAACAAATCTCTTAAATTAAAAATGTAAACTTTTGAGCACAGACTGAAAAGCACATGCAATTTAGCTCTCACATCTCTCATTCCTGTAAAATTCATAGCTATAAACATGATTTTAAAGAGATAATTTGATAATTTCTTAACAATCAATGCCCTACAAGAGAATTTATTATTACAAACTACATCAGTGTCTATATGCATCTTAGCTTCAAAGCTAACAAAATTGTGTTGAACATGACATTGCTAAAAAGAATAAAAAATAAAGAAGAGGGAAAGGAAAAGCATTTGATGTCCACAGTAAGTTTTAACAAATTCCTTTCCTAAACAGCTGCACAGAAGTTGCAACTCCAGCATAAATTCATCTGACCCCAGCTAAATTAGGTGCCCAGTCATCTTAGATTCCTTACGACATCAGTGGAGAGGGGAAAAAAGAAAAGTAAGCAGCTACAGGCAATAACACAGGCCATCTCTCTCTCTCTAAGTACTGGGCAATGTTACTTTAGCTCTATTTTCTAAACGCACCTGGAGCCAAAAAGCTTGACCACATTTTCCCCCTTTACTTCTGCCATTGCACTTGGACTTCTCTAGGAACCAGATCAACTCATTGATCTGGGAGAAAGCTACAAGGAAAAGAATTTCAGGCAGCGTCAGTTTTCAGAGGTGCCAAACGCTAAAGCCAGAACCCTAGCTGGGAACAGGAGGGGAGACCTGCTCTCTTTCACCAACCACATCCCATGAAAACTGCCCAGCTGTGTTGCCTGTGCCCTGGAGCCCTTTGGTCCCTAGGGGAAAGGGGAAGAAGTCAACCATCCTCAACTCTGTATGAGAGAATGTGTCACGAGCTCATTGTTCCACACGGCTAATAAGAACATAGTAAGCCACATAACTGGAAAAAAAAGTCCTCTGGAGATTTTACATTTTTATGACCTGGTACAGCAATATAACATTTTTATGATGTCTGAGTGGGATAAGTGATTGAAAACCATGCAGTTCTTTAAAATGTAAAAAGATCAGGTAAGAGAATCTATGCTTTGCCAAGTTGAATAGTATTTTTGGGGGGGGCGTTGGGGTTGTCTCTTACCTTTTCTCTTGGATGATACCCCACTGATGCACTAACACAGATGGAATTATCTTTGAGCAAACTGAACAAAGCAGCAAATAACAAACTTGTAACAAGTAAGATTCATGTCATTTCATTAAAAAAAAAAAAAAAAGCACAAACATTTACTGACATCAACCAAACCCATTACAAAACATCACAATTATAATTAATACAGTTCCCTTCATATTCAACCTTAAATTGCTGGAAAGAAGTTCTCTTTTTTCTCCTTTCCATTTTTAAAGTCAAAAAATATTCCAACAAATCACAGTGCAATTCGCTTTCAAGAGAACCTATTTTCTGTATCCTTATGTACTTCCTATATGGCTTCCACGTCATCAGTGTGCTACTGATGGTATTACAGAACATTCTATTGATTTGGCCAGAAGAAAGTGTGATTCACATCTGTAGACAAAGTTGTAGTACCTTCAATCCAGCAAATCTGGATGAGATTTTCTGTACAAAACAGATACATATGACCTCCAATTCATCCATCACTAATTATAATGAACGTTGGCAGTGATTGTCATTTTTCTGCTATTTAGGAAGAATTAGTATTTTATGGTAACAAGTGAAATCCTGATGAAGATCCACGTTTTCTGGACGGCATGTGGTAACGTACTTTCTTCCAGAATCTGGTACTTGCTGAATGAGACCTTTCCGAGAAGTCACCTTTCCATCGGATAGCCCCATACTTTTGCTTAATATATTTGATGGATTCTGGCATGTTAGTATAGTCGTGTATTTTTTCAAGTTCGATCAGAATTACTTTAATACCATCCTGGATAAGAGCATTATACATGGCTAGATGCTTTTCAGACGCGTCTTCTAGAATACTGTAACATGATGGTTCTGGTACTAAAATAACTATCACTCTTCTACTTTGACGGATTTTTTCATCAGCAATACTGATCACAGCTGTAGAGAGAAAAAAGGTTGTGCAAAAAAAAATCAGGCTGTCTATCAGGGTTTTATTTTTTGTTACTCATATGTTGCAACTGCTTCATTCACTGTTTGATATTTGAGCCTCTCTTTACCTCATAAATAGGGACAGGATAAGAGCATCCAAGCTGTTACTGTGGGTTAGCTGACAAGTGGAGATTTGGCTAATGCAACGCTCTGACCACATGAAAACATACATATTTGTATTGCATAAACAGAAAAGAGCTACCAACTTTCTACTACTTATGACTTGATGTCATTTTATTATTACCATAGGTGAAATGGCAAAATATTCAGACGAGTTTCTTCATTTCACATAAGCAGTCAGTGGGACAGACCTTGCAATTTTGAGTGTCAGGTGCTAGAAACTGAAATTTGGTGTGCATACACACACAAAGGAAACCTCCACAAGAATTTTAAAGCCTTGTAAGGCAATGCTTTGTAAGAATTTCACTAGGGCAAAGTACACTTTGATTCTTGCCTGATAAATTAACGTCACTTTGCTTTCCTTTTTTCAGCTGCTAGTAAGAAAACTCAAGTCTAATTTGTCTTTGGATAGCTTACCTTCTCCTGGTAAATCATTCCTCCCAAATATAAAGAGATTATATCCACACTGTCTTTCTAAGACCTCTGGTAGTATCTTCAGAGCAAAAATATCTGATGAGTACAAGCAGCTCTCTCTGTTCTTTGGATACAGAACGTAAGCATCATAGATCTTCCCATCTGAAGCTAAAAAAAAAATATATAAAAATGTAATCTAAAGACACAAGCAGAAGAACATCCCTAAACACTTTCCCACTCTGCTTGAAGCGTTGATTTGGGTTCTAATACAACTATTACCTAAGCATGCATAACTATATCAAGCCTGATGTATTTGTAGAATCAGCCCTTTAAGATTCAGCATACTGGATCTGAATAGGCAAGAGACCTGCAAAATTAAGGTTGAATAAAGAAAACTCAAACCTATCTAAATTAAATATAAACATATATATACACATATATATGTTACCAGTGAATTGTGTAGAAAATAGCTGTTCCAGCAGAATAACTGAATTCTTAAAGATCGTCAGTAGCCATATAGCTAGCAGATCATTTTCGTAACCAGAAGTTTCATACCACAACAACCACTTTGACATGAAAACAAAACCAAAATATTTGGCAAAATTCAGGATCGGAAGCACATTAGGTATTTAGGAACAAGTTTTCCAGAAAGACCAAACTTAAAAGGCTTCACAGAAACCCATCAGAACAACTACCTCCAGCTTCTCTAGCCATGTACCTCCCCTCAGATGTTTGGAAATGACTCATACTTAAGCATGCTGCTCTTATAGATAGCACACCAGTCAACATTATTCCGAATGCCAGGAATTTAAGGAAAGTAAACTGATTAGAAATATCTACAAATAGTAAAAAAAAAAAAAAAAAGTGAAATGCATCCTGTTTCATCCAGACTGCGGATCAATTCCATTGTATTACTGCTTTTTGTAAGAATTAAAGGATATCCAAAGAGCTGCAGCCAGAACAGCATTCAAACCACTAAATTATGTCTTTAAGGAAAGGAATAATAGAACTGGATTCTTGGAAAGTTGTTGATTTTTCTCCCATAGATACTTTTGTCATCTGAACTAATTCTATACATCATAAAAATGTGTTCTATTTTCAAAAATCCCAAGCAAGATCAATCATGCTCCAATGAGGTTAACTCATCGCTTTGCAAGAGAAGATGGAGACAACCTGCTTGTTACAACACACAGCACACTCAAAGTACACCTTACTACAACATAAACATACCTTTTTCACCCAGGAAAGGATGGCAGGAGTTCCGATACCAAAGCACGATATCAATTTTGAAGATCTTGTAGATAATGAGTGTAACAAACACTAAAAATACCAAAGAAACTCCTCCTCCAATCAAGTAACCCTGGATGTTCTGAGCTGCAGTAGAAAGTGGAATAAAAGGAGAGAAACAAAAATATAGTTATATGTAAGAAATAAGACGTGATGTTAAAAACTGGCAGTTTTCCCCTCAAATACTTAGTCATTAAAGGATTTTAAAAAATAGACGTAATGAATGACAGGACTGAAAGTTTTCCATGTATTCTTTCTACAAATATTGTTATTTGACAAATGTGCTTTTATCTTTCAGAGAAAAGGTACCTTAACAATGAGACAAGAGAGGTTACTCTTCAGCCAAAGTACCAAAATATTAATATCATATATATAAATTAAGATTATATATATATTAATATTAACGTATAGCCCAGAGAATTCTCATACAAAGTTTGATCAGTCAGAAAGCAAGAAAGTCAGAGGAGAGGAGATGACTTCCTAACCACACTGTTCTCCACATACCAACCAGCTTTTCATTATGTCAAGCCTCTTCAAAGACCCACCACTGAACCAACTAATTTGTTATCCTTAATAGATTAAAAAAAAACAGATTAAATAAATAGATTAAAGCCCACGAATGGCCACATGAACTGCAATTTTTAGTTCATGCATTTAAGAATGTCTGAGGTTAATTCCTACCCTGTGGATCATTGTGAAGGCCTTTATTTAGAGTAAGCAAATAATTTGTTTATAGTTATATAACAAGATAGGGCTGGTATCCACTTTCAGTCAGTTATCTGTTTACAATGTGGCCAGCTAAAGGCAAATTTGAAAGTGACACCTGTCAAAAGACTGGCTCACAATCAATGAAATCAGCTTTGTCACTCAGTAGACTAGGGAATATTCTGTAGCTATATTTTAAAAAAATAAAAAAAAATTAAAAAAGGACACTTAAAAAACCTAATGGTTTGCTTTTCTATGTATCTGTTCTTGACTACAAAGAATGAATTTCTTGAACCTTGCATCTGAGTTTTTACAAGCTCATTTTATCTTTATTTGAAGGTTCATCTACCAAAAAGAAAGATTTCAGACTAGCCAGTGCCAGGTCAAAATTACCCTGTCTCTGAGCACAAGACAGGGGTATTCAACAAGAAGCTGATGCTCCCAAACAAAATTCCTGCGGCTATCTAGAAGGTGGTAACAAAGCATATGCATCAGTAATGGAAACTCCCTGACCTTCCAAGAAACCTATTTCACTGTTTCACTTCATCATTGTTAAGAGCTTTTCCTACTATCTAAACAGATTTTTTTTTTTTCTCCTGACAATCTGAGCCCATTATTTGTTACAGTAGGACAGGACAACCAGGTGGCACATGTATATTCAGTTGCTTTTGACACACTCTGTTCCATACTTGGTTACATCTCCCCTCAGTTCTTTAAGAGAACTGGCCATTTTCACTCCTCTTCTACACACGATCTCCTCTGATGCACATGCTTCTTCACAAGTGTGTAAAACGAAGCACAGTATTCCACTGAGGCCTCATATTTGCTTCAATGTATTTAAGTATTTCATTAATGCTTGCTAAAATACCTAACAAGAGAAGGCAAAGCAAATTCAAAGTGCTACTCCCTTTAATTTTGCTAAGAAACAGGTTTAGCTGCAAGTAGTGTGGTGTCAAACTAATTGAAAAGTGCATGTAGGCATCATTGATCACAATTTTTATCAAGACTTGATATCTTACCTGGGGGTTCCAATTTGATATATGATGTAAATTGTTGAGACTCATATATGAAATGACAGAAAAACTTATAGGCATAATCCTTTACTTTCACTTTTGAAATGTTAAATTTTGTTCCAGCTACAGTAATTCCATGAGGCATCCCCTTTCTGTTATTAAAAAAGGATTAAAATAAAAAAAGAAATATCAGTATAGAAACAAGAATCTCTGCTGAATCTATCCCATGTTAAACACTATTTGCAAATACATGAACATTCGTTTTCTACAAACCTAAGAGGTTTGTAGAAAAGAAAGCAGTTTGCAACATAACACCAGACTTTTTTTTTTTTTAAACTGATGATGGCACTTGGTGGAAACAACAATGCTTCTGCATGAGTCTGAACTGATCAGTTGAGAATCCTGTCACCCTTTCCCCCACACGTACTTCCTTCTAATATGTTTTAAGGATTATAATTAATAGCAGTAGTTGCTATAATGAGAAAGCATCAATATATCCACACTCTACAATAGCATAGACCAATTATCACAGAGTAACAAAGGTCCTGCTCTCTTGCAAGAGATTTTCTACAAGAGCTTCTCCTTTGTGTTCTTTGAAATTAACAGCAACATCTGTACTTCAACAGGACTTTTTTTTTTTTTTTGCCTTGGAGCAATCTACCCTTCCTATATTAATGATGGAGGGGAAGGTATAGTCTATTAACAAAAGAATTTAATAAAAACAAATGTATATATAAGGCTTAAAAATGATATGTTTCATAACAGCATTCTAAAAATGTGTGTAAGGCTGCTTCATTCCATTTGTATCAGATGCATTACTATTTATAATAAATTATTTAAAAACCAAGCAATAAGAATATAATGTACTTGATGCAGACTTCTAATCAGTCTTTCGTGACCACTACCATTGACTACTAGTCAACTTTACGGTGAATTCATTGCAAATTAGTGCAGATTACATCACCTAGAAAGGTACTTACAGTTCAATGTATAAAGATACTTACTCATAAAACTGTTCCCTGTAGGTGCTATCAAAGTCATCAACATAGCCATCATTAACTTCCCAGTATGGAATCAAGCTATTTATGCCAGAGGATACATTGCATTCCATGACTACATGAGAGCCTACAAAACAAAACAAACCATTTAAATACAGCAACTGAAAGTCTTGTAAGAGAAGCGGGATCAAGTGACCAGGGAACAACTGGGAAAAGGAGGGATAAGGAAAATCTTACCTACCTTATGAAAAACAGAGTCCATTAAACTCATCCATTTCTACTCCACAACTGGATGTCTCCAATCTGGATGTGAATCCCACCCTAAACGTAGGTAACTGAATGTTCATGTCTACACATGAACCAGATATCTAAGCTATAAAGGAGTTCACCTCCACTGGATTCTGCTCATATTAAAATAGACACCTGGGTCTTACATCTGAATGGCTCTCTGGACTTCACTGACTATTACTAAAAGATCTTCAGGGCCCAAATCAGTTGCCTAACATTTGAGATGCTCACCAGCAACACAGGCATCTGTAGGAAGCTAGCAAATAGGCCTCCAGATATTCAGAAAATCTGCATATCTAGAGCAGCAAGTTCATCCAAAACAGCACTAGACATCTACATTTAGTCAACTGAACTGAGGTCCTATAATAACATGAGTTGAATCCCCTACCTCATATGCAGATACCCATGTGTAAGTATCTCCCTTTAGTCTCATGGGTGACTGCTTTCTTAGGATCTGTGAGGTACTTAAAGCTGGATTTGGGTACCTTAGACCAGCTAAAATGAACAGTAATATGACAGTAAGTTGTAATCAACAATATTCAAGCCATAAAAAATGTGGATCAACTGTTAATTTAAAATATCAAGGAATCTAAACAAGTTGTCCCATAATAAATCCTAATATAGGCTGAGAACCACAGGCAGGCCCCGGACTGCTGCTTACTTGATTCTCCATTTTCTCAACAAGCATGATCAAAGGAGAAAGAAAATCCTAAAGGACGCATACAGTAAATGAATATGCCTTTTAAGGTCCTATGCACTTCTGACTCCTGAGTAGTGGTTCCACTGGCAAGAATTTTTCTGAATTATATGGGAAGTCATAATTAATTTGCCAACAAGAATTTGGGATGAGATTTACACATTTGTGTGGCTGCACGATTTAGTACAGGAAAACACCACCATAATATTACCATATTTCTTCCACAGTTACAATTGCAAAGGAAAAGATAAGTTTTCATAGAAGATTAGGGCTATATGAGTTTATAAAAGGATAGTGGCAAGTATCCTATTTCAGACTAAGACCTGGCAAATAAATCTCCTTATTAGCAACACATATAGCACTTTCCCTTATTAGAGCACAAATAGAGCTTTTCAGACACGTATTTCTAACAAAACCAGAGAAGCTGTAATTACAAGAGAGGAGGCTGTTGAGTCATTTCTAACTATTTCCAACAGATTTAAACGATCATCTGAAGACCACAGCTCTGTAAGCCTACAGTAATACTATTTGTATCAGGTCCGAAATTTTCACACTTCAGTAGACTACTGTTTAAAATAAAGTCTTCCAAACTTTGAAGGAAAATAACTCCTATTTATTCTTTGCTTTATTCTGATCAAAATCTCATCCTCACCAGAATCTGGCAACTTTGGAACAAGATATCTTTCACAAGTTGTTGAAGTCATCAAAGAAAAGGAAGAGAAGAAAAAGGGGAAAAAATGGAGAGAAAAAAAAAAGGCAAGGAAACAAACTACCCAGTACCTCAGTATTGTTCACTTGTTCACTTTAGTTTACTGCCATATGCTCAAAGTCAGAACTTGAGCAGGACAAGATGTTTCACATCAAGTTGTAAACTTAATGACAGGAAAAGCACCAGCAGAAGTAGCTGTGATTTACATAATCCACAGTGCTACAGCCTCAGTTTCCATATGGAGCCAGAGCCCCAACATGACCTTTCCTCTGAGCTTCTTTAATGCCCTAACTGCTAATAGTTGTTTACTTAAAGAAGTACAAGACATCTCAGATCTCTCTGCACTAGGAAATTGTAGTAAATAGCCACTCACACTTCTCCAAGATCAGTTAAAGCCTTTTTTAAATCAAAGACTTAGCTTGAAACAGTTCTACTTGGTACAAAATGGTATCTGAAACCATTTAATGCCCTAGAAGAATGAATAAAAATCTTTTTCTTTTTCTTTTTTTTTGAGAGGGAAGGAAGACAGGAAACACAGAGGAAGAGAAAAACTACTAAACCAGTCAACTGGTAACTATCCTAACATGTTGCATATTTGTAACTGTGTTCCCAATGACACTGTACATATGTCAAGACACAGGCAGTGAAAGGAAGTACAAAGGGAATATGGCAACAAACAAAAAATAGATGCATCCAACATGACATTGCTTGTAAAGAAATTCCAGTCTTAGGTGCACACAGTTATTCTCCCTGCAAATTACTTGGAAGAATCATATTCTATCACTTGTGTTCCAGATAACCTCAATCCACATGCCTATCTAACAATCTTGCTGAAATCACTGGAATTGTTAACATGTTATTTCAGTAAAACTCCCAGTCTTTCTAAGTTTTAATGATTTCTTAAATAGTCACTACTTACCAAGTTCCACTTCAATTGTGTTATTCTTTGGATAAATAAACTCTGGTCTCATCTGCAGTGGGCTTTCTAACAGAAAGAAAGAGAAAAAATAAATCTCTGGACAATGAGTTCCATGACTTACTTCAACCAACAGTTTCACAATTATTTTGTTTTATTTTTTGGTACTATTGCAGCACCATTATGTACTACCAGTTTCAATTTTCCAGTGGAAAAAATCTCTAATGAAATTTGCTGTATTCATCCAAGTTCTAGTTTCCAAGATAGCAGGAAACTTTATCTTATCTTAAAAACATTTTTTTAAAAAAGTCTCAGACTTACTGGCAGTTGATATAGAAGTAATACAAAACCAGGTAACAGAAACACAAGCAAAGAAGTACAATGAACAGTCAAAGAGATGGGTAAGGAAGAGAAAGAGGAATTACCTCAGTGACCCCCTACATCAGGTGAACATCTTTTAAGTAAAAGAGTTGTCAAGAATACACAAACAGAATTTTATCTTTCTGCGTGATACATACACTCACTTCTAACAAGCTGCTGTTCTTGTATCACCTATCTAAAGTAAGAACATTGATTTAATCTAAGAAGATGAACACTTTACCTCCAACTTTTACCTCCACTTTACCTCCTTTCTGAAAGGACTACAGCCATGGTAGCGCTCAGGTCATTAGTAATGCTCTCTACAGAGACAGGTTGACCAATAGGGCCAGCAGGAGTTCTGCTGTCATGGTCTTAGCAATAAATAAATAAATAAATAAATAAATAAATAAAATTCTTCTGTTTGTTTTTGTTTTAATGGTTATTTACACGTTTTTGCAAAAACAAACCAACACCCCTGCTTTCTTCTAATTTCTAACCACACATTTCTCATTTCCCTATTACAATTCTTCCTCTGAAGCAATGCTCAAGGGTAAGCAATATGCATTGTTGTACTTTAATTGTAGCATTCTAGGAAAAAAAAATGATGTAAAGATAATGTGCAGCTCTGTTTCTACAGAGCTGAAAAGTGCCAGTCTGCTTACGCTTGCATAAAAATAACGAGTAGAGGAATAAAACAGAAAACCACCTCTGTGAACTCACCTTTAACCACTAGACTCATGGTTCGTGAAACATTATATTGTTTTCCCATGTATGTATACACCATACGGCATGTGTAGTTGCCTTTGTCTTGTACAGATACATTGTGAATCAGGACAGCATTTTCACCCTCAGCCAACACAAATCGCTTGTCTTCTAGAAATCCAGGCTTACACTCCTAAATATATCAAAAGTACCTGTGAGTTAGGGGAACTAACCATCTTATAATTAAGCCCACTAATGAACTCTACTAATTATTAAAAATAAATAAAAATCAGCATTTTTATATTGTTATTGAAAATTAATTAAAAATCAGTTGTCTTTTTTTTTTTTTAAACCACAATGTGGGTCATATACAAGCGTCACTGTGCTCTAACATGAAGCCCAAAGAGGTCTTGCTGCATTTGCACCTTTTAAATATCACTGCAGCCAATTCTTTACGGTTTCAGATGTAGTCTCTTAGTTCACTGCCTTCATTTAATATCTTGAGTTAAATAGATATCCCCAGGTGTACTAGAAGTCTTTTACACCTGCAGTGAGGGTATTTGAGACTGTCGCCCACAATATTCTCCTAGGCAAGCTCAGGAAGTGTGGGATAGATGAGGAGCCAGTGAGGTGGATTGGGAACTGGCTGGATGGCGGAGTTTGGGGGTTGTGCTCAGCAGTGTTGGAGTGATCAGGAGTTCAGCTGGAGGCCTGTAGCCAGCGGTGTCCCCCAGAGGTCAGTACTGGACCCAGTCTTGTTCAATTTTATCAACGTATCTAAATATCTTAAGGGAGGGTGTCAAGATGATAGAGCCAGGCTCTTTTCGGTGGTTCCAGCAACAGGCACAAACTGACACAGGAAGTTCCATTTTAATACGAGAAGAAGAAACTTCTTTACTGTGCCAGTGACAGAGCATGGGAACAGGTTGCCCAGAGAGGCTGTGAGGCTTCCTTCTCCAGAGTCATTTAAAACCTACCTGAATGTCACCCCGTGCAATGTGCTCTAGGTGACCCTATTTGAGCAGGGATGTCGGACCAGATGATCTCCAGAGGTCCTTTCACCCTCAACCATTATGTGAGCCTGGTGCGTGCCTACATTTCTACTTCCCTGAAACAGAGCTGTTGTAGCAGTGACTCATGCTGTTGGGTGTATTATCACATCCGCGGCAATGCAAGAGCAGCAAAAAAAATAATCCTTTCTCTTCTATGAGCAGTTTACAACCACATCGTCTCAAAAAGAACCTTGGTGCTACATTTGTGCATTTTATTTCAGATATAAAATACAGGCCTATATAGGTGCTTTAAGACCAACAACAGAATTAAGAGCTGAACTGCCTTAGAATTTTACCTCAACATAGAAAAAACAAAACAAAAACAAAACAAAACAAAACAAAACAAAAAAAAAAAAAAAACACAAAAACATACTGCTCCAAGCTTGAATGGGCTATTTTGCCCAGAGTATTTTGCCAGAATCAGAGCAATAGGCATCTGAATGCTGCACCATAATCAACAGTCAAGACAGGCCTAATACTCTGAGAAATAGAAATAGCTACGCAGAGCCTTATACTTAAGGAAACACAAGTTTTTGAACTTACTGCCTCTATACTTTACCTACGAACTTAACGCGTATATAAACTGGACATTTCACAAATCAACAAACAAAAGCAACACATTTTTTAGACTGCAAGCTCTTTCAGAGTCAAAGTGGACACAATGTTGTTTTTTGGGGGGGTTGTTTGTTTTGTTTTAAATATCTCTCATATCTCCTCACATCTTCCCAACAGTATGATAAAATAGATGCTATACTCAAAACTCACAGTGAATAAACTTTCCTTCCAAAAGCTGCTCTTCATAATTACATCATAATGTGTTTTAAATATAATATTTTCTATGTTCTATATCTGAAATATTTATGTACAGTACCTTATACCAGTGTACTTCGGGCTTAACATTGTCTTCATCTTTAAAATTCTCTAGATCAGGGCATATAATATTTCCAATATTTGCGCTGTTCACCACTTGTTCATACTTCATTTTTCCATTAAAACACAAACCATTATCGTTCTTAAAAACCTTTAAATTTATAGTTTTCTGGTTAGAGCGGTTAAGACCTCTGTAACAAGAAGAGCAGACAAGTCAGGTCATTAACAACAAGGTCTCTTCTTTTCAGCAACTCAGAGAGTTTATAGAGAGGAGATTTCAGGACTTACAGGGACTTCCATATTTCCAGCAGCCTTGCTCCTATCACCCCTGCTACAGTCTCCCTAGCTCTTAAACATTACTCTCGACTCCTCACTCCCCATTCCAGACCATGAGAGATAGGGATAAGCTCTGATGTTGCATTGTGGATAGAGTGGAATCTGCTCTGCTCTGGAAGCACCAGAGGGGAATTCAGGACTTCTCTTACTTACTGGAGTACTGCATCCAGGTTTGGGGCCCCCAGCACAAGAAAGATGTGGACCTGTTAGAGCAAGTCCAGAGGAGGGCTACAAAGATGACCAGAGGGCTGAAGCACCTCTCCTATGAAGAAGGGCTGTGTCCTTGAAGGGACACTTTAAGACAAGAAGGCTTCACTTTTTTGCAGGAGACAACGCTTTTGAATACCGTGTACACCAAGATGAAACATTGGTGTGAAACTACTTCAGACTGAGATCTTACAGGAAACAGAGAACAAGCTGTGGTATAGCACCTCTCCAGAAGATACAGCACTAGAAAGCAGAAGCCTAAGCCAGAAATAAAGGAATACTCATTACTTCTACTTTATTCTTCATTTCTCAGTGCTCTGTTAGGAGACTGGTTTCCAGAGAAGACAACTGTATGTTTTGACAGAATTGGTGACAACTTCCATATGCTGCACCTTGACAAACGCTATAATTAAGACTGATACACAAAACATAGCCTGGTTAATGCAACAGAACTTTAGTATATGCTTTTTGGCATGCTGACATTGTGCAAGCCGGACTTAAGAGGTAAGGTACCCAAGAGAAGACAAAGCAAGAGCACCTAAATTAAAATGATGTTTATTATTTAAGTAGTTAGCTTTGAAGGGATTGCATTTCCTTCCTCTTTCAATTTGGGATTCATTGTTGACTCTGAAGTAAGAAGCTGCAACAGCCTGCGACCTGTGCCTACACTGGAGGTTCTTGCAGATTACTGGGACTACACTCACAATCCAAATCCCTTCAACATAACTGGTGTGCTGTATGCACTGTAGTACACCTAACTACACCCTACTAAAACAAATTTGGGGTCACACAAAAAGCCTGCGTTGGTTGTTCTCAGCATGATGTGGCAAGACCACAACATCAACAACAAAAATTTTATGTGCCTTCCTGGCATTAATTTCCTGTTCAGCAGCACACTGAATTTCAGCCATTGTAAGATTTGAGCATCTGAAGCAGTAAATTCCAGTGCAATAATCTGAGCTCTAAATATAACAACAGCTTGAAGATGCCAAACAGCCAAAAAGATTCTCCTGTTTCTTCTCCATGCACTTAGATCTTCTGAACAGTGCTGGGGACATAGTACTCTCACCGTCTTTAAAGCTGTCTAGCACACTGCTTTGCTCTTCTTATGCATTCTCATTTTTGACCAGTAACGCTTAGCAATGCTTTATAATAAGACATAAGAATGGTTTATGGCCTCTTAATTTATAAATTTCCCAAAGGATTCCAAAAAAAAGTTGTAAAGCTCTCCAGAACATCTGTATTTTTTGATCCTTTGTAACATACAGAGAACTCTCTCTACTAAGATCCTCCTTACATTTAACCACATTCCGTGAAGAAATCAAAATGTTCTTCTGATGTGTCAGTATCAAACAGCCATTTGAACACAGGAGAACTGAAGGAGTTAAGACTTCTTTCAGTGACCTTACACTTCATTCAAAACAAAGAAAATATCCCACACCCATTAACAATAATATTGTTAATATTTTTGAGTTTTAAGATAAAAAGTTTTCTGTATGAACCACTTTTGCAATGCCAAATTCTACACATGTGGAAGAAAAAAAGGCAGCACAAAGTTAACAAAAAGCATGGTCAATACAGTGCTTTTAACTGATCTAAGGTTTCTACCTAAAACAAAAAAATTCTGTACACCCAAGTCCCACAGATGTTACTCCACTGTAAGTATCAGTAATCCAGTTGTTTCCCTCCTCCCTTTCTTACCTTACTTCACATTCATAAAGTCCAGAATCTTCCAGTGTTGCAGGAATGAACCAAAGCAAGCCCTTTCGCACATGAATCCTGGCGTTTTTCTCTGTGGTTATTGGTGTATTACTACCATTTTTATACCATGTCATATTGTAATCAGAGTGAAGCGCTGGCAATGTTATTACTGGGCAACTGATAGCTGTAGGCTCTCCAACTAGCACAAAGTAATCACAAACAATGCACTCTTCTATTAAAAAAAAAGAGAGAGAAAACAGTTATTGTTTTTAATCTGTTTTTTTGTTTGTTTGTTTGTTTGTTTTAAGAAGTATTAACATCCATTCAAAGTTAAAAAGAATTAGGAAGTAAACTTTCTGTAACTATTTATTATTAAAATATTACAAAATTACTGCTTCTTGTCTGTTTAGTACCCTCTGGTTGAATAAACACATACTTCACAAACCTTAAATCATAACTTCTCCCTATTAAAGTAGTCAGTAGTAAATCCATTATTATCCTGCTTATTCCAAGAACAGCATTATAAATACCATTAAATTATATAGCCTAAATTCTACTGAAAACTTAGATCTACCATTAAAATATTACTAATTAATTGCAAAGGAAACTGGCCTCTACCTGTCTGTTTTCAGCACTAGAGAAACAGCACATCTCTTAAAGACGGCATTTAACAGCTCACTTACAGTCAAGGAAGCCGATCTCTTTGTACTTTCTTTAAAGGAAATTAGGGAGTGGTTATTCAAAGCCTCAGTACCCTAGATTTATGTGACTAGATTTAAAACTATTTATGTCAACCTGTCCTTCCCATGCCCAGTGCAACTTCAACCCAAAATTAGGCATTCAGAATATCTTCAACACTCCGAATCCACTACTTCCTCTCAGTAACTCTTTTCTACTGGACATGCACAACTTGTCTCTTGCAGGTTTTCTTTTATAAAATAGTAATTTCAGCAACATATTTAACTTACCAGCACTGAACAAAGGTATCAGTAGAATTAGATGACCAATAAGCAAAAATGTAGATGTCATCTTTTGCTGCAAAGAAAAAAAAATATTTTCCATTAATGTGATGAGCGTTCCAAGCTGCAATGTCCTCTGCACCCTGCGTTACTCCTTAAAAATTTAGGAGAAGCATTAGTCATTGTGGGGAGGGAAAAATCGGTTTGGCAGTTTAGCCCTAGCCTTTGAAGATTTTGGCCACCACCAAAGTTGGTGCCCACAGAAGGCTGCTCAGTTTTCAGCTTTCCACTGGAACTTTTCCAGTTTTCTTCTGGAAGAACTCTTGCATAAAGTGTATTTTTCTTTTGCCCGCCTAGTTAAATCCAAAAACAACTTTAACATGGATGAAGTTATGCTTGCATACAGCTAACATTTAAGCTATACTGTATAATCTTGATACCGAGCTTGACTAAGCTTCTTTTCCACATTTACGAAAGACACAGTTCCAGAGATACATGAGGTTTCCTTCTGCAAACTGTGCTCCTACAATTAAGGCAGCACTGCTCTTAACAGCTGGTGAACTTGTAGCTCTTTGCTGGAGAACAAACGTACTGTAACTCTAAAATGATCTGGCAGGCACTTAAATTTGTGTCTAAAGGTGACGTTTCCAGACACACATATGTGAAAGCCGTGGGTGATGTGAATTGCTGTGGTCAGACACAAAACAGCAAAGCCTTCTAGAACTGTAGTTGCACTTCACACCTCAGGTCTTCTTCACAGGTTTCTCTAATACATATGCGACTGAACAGAAAACCACTGCCCTCAGAGCTGGTTTCCACAAAATCACTGTGCCTTAACCAAGCCCTCTCTCAGATGGGTCTGCTTTTTTCTTTGGCAAGATGTCATCAGAGCCCCTCCCAAGCCACATACTGACAGCCAGCTGGCAAACACTTGACCCTTTTTCTTTCTGACAGCTCTTTGTAGGTTAAGGTCTGCATTTAACCATCTTGCTTTTCCTATATGACTATTCTGCGTGCTGCTCCCTCTTGCACTAAAGCAATCTGGTTTCCTGTGTAACAATCATTGCAAATGCAATGACCACAGGTACTAGTACTTTAATCAGCTAGCAATGGCTTGGGAGAAGAGCATGTATTCCCTGAAAAACACCCATGGCCCTGAATTACTTTTATATGCAATGTAGTTCACACATCAACGTATAGGCCCTACCAGCTACTTCTTTTGAAACTTTGCACATAAGGAGGCATCAGGGCACAAGGAAGGGATACACAGAGCAGAGTTCAACATTGGAATATAAGAGCTTCTAAATATCTGCTTGTTTTGAACCAACAGCTTTTTTTTTTTAATCTGACAAAGCATTCATACCAAAGCCTTTCTTTAGTTGCCTTGTAAGTGTTTTTCTTGTAAATTCTCAGAGTAGATCATCATTCTTGACATTCCAGTTTACCTGTAAAAAATTAAGAAGGGGAAAAGCGATTGTAAAAAACACATTATTTGGACAATAGAATCATAGAATCATTCAATTTGGAAAAAACCTCTAAAATCAACTAGTCCAACATTTAACCTAGTACTAAAGTCCTTCAGTATACCATGCTACTAAGTTCTAAATCTACACATTTCTTGAAAACCTCCAGAGATAGTGACTCAGCTACATCCCTGGCCAGCCTATTCCAATGCCACACAACCCTTTCAGGGAAGAAGTTCCTCTTAATATACAACCTAAACCTCCTCTGGTACAACTTGAGGCCATTTCCTCTTGTCTTATCACTTGGTGACTGGGAGAAGAGCCCACTCCTCTGGACTTGTGTTCCAGACCCTTCAGTGAGGGGCCCAAAAATGAACACACTATTTAAGGTGCAGCCTCACCAGAGCTGAGTACAGGGGGACAATCACTTGGTTGAAAATCTGACTAACGAAAATGCTAACACAAAGCTAATTTTTTTCAACAGTCAACCTAAATGTAAAAGCATGAGCATAATTGTGCCTACACTGGAGACACTACTTAAAACAAAAGCGGAATAATAAAACTTGCAGCAAAGACTGACCAAGAATTCTAGCCAAGAGCTTTGAAAAATATTGTTTCAGTCAGAAAGATGACATTACAGATTTGTCAAAGCAACCAACAAAGCCAGACATAAGTAGCCACTTTGTAAGACTGATCTGACTACTGAAAGTAAACGATGCCTAAATTTAGGGTAAAAATAATTAAGCAATCTAACAGGTTAAACTTTACATTTTGCACTCATTACTGGCTTCAAATACCAAGGGTGGCTGTCTTTCTAATAGTGTATGGTAAAGCTCAGCATTTTAGGAAAAGTTCTATTATTTACAAACTTCCTTCCCCCTAGGTCAAATACTGCAATGGTAAAACTTGGAAACTCTGGAAAGAAGGGAAGAAGCCTCCAGCTTTTGTAGTTGCAATATCTGAGAACACACAGAACATTTTGATTCTGGTTTCAAGTGACACAGAAGATTCTTACAAGCATTCTTTCTTAAGAAGAATATACAGTGAAACATTATTCAGACTCCATAATGTGAAACTTTGTTTAAAACGCAGATGTTTGTTCACATACCTAGTGACTAGCCTGGTACTGCCTTCTACCTCAGTCTCAGCAGTATGAGATGCCCCTGTGACACAGCTACAGAGGCTTAAAAAGTCTCACTTATGTAGAGAGGACAGCAACTTCACGGATGACAATGCCTACATACTTATCTTGAAAAACTATTTCATCTCAAAGCTTGCTGAGTTCAAAGGAAAAATTTTTGTACACGAAGCCTTTATGAAAGAAGAAAGAAACAAACCACCCACCTACCAATCATATCTGTGGTTTGATCTACTAAAAAAAAGAAACATTTTGATTTCCAAGTTACTTTCCTAATGTTTACCTTCCCGTACCTGAAATATGACTTATTACTTCTCCTTCAAATTTTTAAAATTAACATCTTGAAAACAGAAATAGAAAATAGGTTGACCTGATTTAAGATACTGACTTTTTGTTCATCAAAAGATGCCTGTCATCACAGAACTTGCCCTTTTACTTGCCTTAGGCACGCTGCCAACTTTAAACACGGTAAGAATAGCTTTTAAAGACATGTTGGGCCCCTAAGCAAACTTGTCCTTCAGGAAGCTGTGCAAAAGGCATAACCATAACTTTCTTTTCAAAATTTTCTGTCTGCAACTTCTAAAAGGATTTTACTTGTAAATAATTTACAAGTACATGGACATGACTGATTCTTGGAAAGGCCAACACAATGACAAATCATTCAGGATAGTAGCTAAGAAAGCATTTAGATCCTTCAGTTGTTTATCAGCACTTTGCTACTAACTTATTTAAGTGGTTTTCAATATTGATCACTACCTACAGGGACTTGTTACTACCAGGGGACTAGCAGATCCTTAGTCTCTAAGCCATAAAGAAACAAAAATTGTGCTTGAAGTGCAACTTGAGATATAAAGTGCCCCGATTTTGTAAGCACACCTACATGAGTCAACTTTTTATATTTAACTAAAATTTTTATTAAAGTTTAGCTGAAACAGCTGAGGTGGGAGAGTGACGGAGGGTGGGAGAAACAACAAAAACAAACAAAAAAGGTACTTGTTCCGAAATACAACCACCAAGACAAGATTAAACCTACCACAACAATTCACACAGCTCACATCTTCCTTGGTGAGTCTACTCCTGTCATTAGGCCTCTTAAAGCTAAGCAAAGCAAGACAGACTTTCTACCAGACATACTTTGTTTCCCATTTGCTCTACCTGAGGTCCCCACTTTCCTGTCTAATGTGCTCAACATATGAGCCAAATGTAGCTGACCATATCAGACATCTTTTAGTTCAGCTGTGAGAAAAAGTGTTAGCAACCATATGCCTAGATTCTGAGCTAAATGTTTGTTACAGGTACTGCCTCACCTTTCATCAAAGCACAGGAAGAGAGGGAAGAGAGAAACAGAGATGGATGGATGTCCAGACATACAGATGGATATCTGCAGATGTGGATAATTAACCATGGATGCCAGCAAAACGAAAAGCTACCTATCCACAGATTTCCACCTCACATCAAACTGGAGACAATGAGAGCATCCACACTACCTTTAAGGAAGTGAACTTACCAGTGTTCAAATAAATCAAACCCAGTTTCTGCGTTCAGCATCAAGTGGAAGAAGCTCATTTTGTAGTCAGAGCTTGTAGCAGTTTTCTATGTCATTTCAACTCCTGATACCTGTCAATATAAAGTAATATGAAAAAGTTGTTACTTAAATTGAAAGTAAATTATTACTTTTTCACCATCATTTTCAAAGAACGAAGCCATTTAAAAGGACCTGGAGGGGTCATGTAGATAAAACTATAAATATAAAAAACACACAGTGATGCAAAAAAATATAAAAATGCAATATTCTCTGAAAAAAAAAAAATGTTTACCAAAACCAGAAAGTATTTCTTACTTGAGGATTACCTTAAAGGATCTAAGTGAAGGATTTTGTGTTATTAAACATTTGTCCAAAAGTTTTATACCAGTTCCCCAGCTTTCAACCCATCCCAATTTCACAATCGGTATGAAAGACCAGTGTGTCCATTTAGGAACTGTTTTTGAGAGTTTAAGCACATGCAGGGAGTCCAAGTCAAACAAGAGCGAAGCTACCAACTTTACGAGGAACAAAACCAAAACGCATCCAGCAGTTTCCTGACATCCCTGGCGAAAACTCCCCGAAGTTAAGAGCTGCTCCTGGAAACTCGAAAACTGGGGCCGTGATTCAGCTCGGGAACTGCTGGGTGACAACTACCGAGCTGTCACCCCGGAGAGCTGTCATGCGGTGGCTTGGTTGCAACCATCCCAGCCCCGAGCTCTGCTGGAGGCAGATCCGCGAGCAGTTCTGCCAGGGCAGCGCTTTTGCCCAAAGCCTGCTCTCGTCATCATAACTAACAGATAAATAAATAAAAAAGTGCTTGAAGCGCTTGTTTGATCAGGGTTGTGCAATGAACAGTTGCTGCGGTGCTTTACCAGGTCAAGGAGATTTACGAAAAGCTTTGTCCTGCTTCCTGCTATAAGCCTTTAAACGTGGCACGCTCGGCGCTCCCGCACTTCTCGCTTCCCTGCCCTTCCTCCCTGCCTGCCCTTGTGCAATGGGACCCGCGGAGCGGCAGCAGAGGGGCACGCCGAAGCCAAACGCCTCCCAGCGAGGCTGCTCCGTGCCGGGCACGCTGCGAGCCAGCGGCCGCCCGACTCCCGCTGCCCCGCGGGGAAAATGGCCGCGCCCCCGCGCGGCCCGCGCAGTAGGACCCTCGCCGCCCTCCCCGCCGCGCCTCCGGCTGAGGCGTCTCCCCGAGCCCCTCCGAGCCCTTCCTCACCTCCGTCTGCTTCCCAAGCCTCGGCCGCCGTCCCGGCTCCGCCACATAGCGGGCGGGCAGCTGGCTCCGCCCCGGCCGCCGAGCCGCGATGGGGACTCGCCCCTCCCCGGGGCCGCCCCTCGGCCTGCACCGCCCGGGGGATGGCTCCGAGGGGGCGGCCTCAGGGCAGCCCGGTTTCCCTCAGGGATCAGGGAGGTTCGTGAGCGGGGTGGTCTGAAGCCCTCCTCAGAGCTCCTCAGGGCCATAAACATGAGTTTATGGTTTATGAGTTTATGAGTTTATAAGCTTATGCTTGGGTTTGGAGCAGAGCTTGTTTGCTTTCTGTCCTGTAAGTGTTTGCTTTTTGTCCTGTTCGGTTGTCTGTCCCTTCTACTGTGTCAGGGCATCACTCTTACAGTTCAAACAATTAGCTTTTTCTGTCTGGATTTGGGTAGTAACTTTATAGAAGGTCTCATTCCTTACTTCGATGGTGAAATTAAGCACGTTCAAACATAAAAATGTATTTTTTTTTTTTCCAAACAGGGAAAAGTTCCTCTGGAATCGCTTAATTGCCCATATTTTTCAATTCAGTGTCCTCTCCTCCTTGAATTTGACTTAGCCTCCTTCATTTTGATTCCAACCAACATAATTTTGGTCACTCCTCAAAAACCTGACTGCAAGGTACTCAGTAACTGCTTATTCCCATCTCTGCTTTTATTCAAAACCTTCTACATGCACTAACTCCACTGAGATTCCACATGAAGTAAGCATTCATAAGATGAATTATAAAAACATAAAATAAAATAAAGTTCCCCTTTGGGTTTGAGCCGTTCCCAAAGCAGTGTGAAGGGACTTGTTAAGGGATTAGAAAAGTGTGGGAAGGAATATTTTAAATTATTAAATGGCACAGCCGATCCTCTGTTCCAGACTTACAGAACCATTGCCATTTCCAAAATGGGAAGCTTAGTCTTTTTTTTGGGGAGAAAGGGCAAGATTGCTTGTCTCTTGTTTTCATTAACACTAATTACAGAAAAGACGGGATTGTCCTACTGGGCTTCTTCTGTGTTGACAATTTTAGGATGAAGAGCTTCTCTGAGCCATGGAGGTGTCAAAAAGGAAAGCCATTTAATGCTGGTCAGCTGATTGGATGATATAAAGGGTGAGACAAACCCTTATGAGCTAGATGAGTAAATTTCTTTCCTGTTGTCTCTGTGTTTATAAACCTTTGCAAACTCTTCTATTTATTTTAGCTCTGTTAAAAGAATATTTTAATCTGCTTTTGCTTCACGGGAGAATATTTTAATGGAATATCTTAATGGAATATTTTAAGGAATATTTTAATCTGTTTTTGCCTTTTCTTGACTCAAGGGTGATGTTAAGGTGACTGGCTAACACTGAAACATTCATTTCATAGGCTATAGCAATCCTAAGAACAAAGATACTAGGGTGTTGTGAGTGGCCATTTGTGCAATATTCCACAATATCCAAAGAATGATAGCAACGCTTCCAACTAAGCTGCACAACTAGTTTGAAAGTTGGTGACTCGTGAGGATTCAGAGAAAGAAGTCTCTCCCAGTAGCTGGCAACAAGCAGGAAAGCCAGGGAATACGGAGCATGCCAGAAACCCATCAGTCTCATAGAAAGAGTAACACCTACATATTGGAAGTTGAAGTAGTCATTTCTAGAATCTGTCATGCATCACTATTTCCATAATTGTGGTATCTCATATCTGTCAAAACCACACTTCTAAAGTAAAAAATCCAAAGTACTGACTGTCATTCATTATAGAGAAACTAATCATGTAGAACCAAAAGTACAATTCTGAAAGAACGCACGCAAGTGTCCGTACTGCCAAGCGGTGATTCAGTGGCAAAGTATGCGTCTTTCTTAAAGCAGAGGATGTTTCCCAGAGTTTCCTGAGTGTTGAAGATGAATTTATCATGAAACATCTAGTAGGACTGCAGTTAGAAAAGAATAATTTCGCTAAAGTCTGTTCTTATCCTACTGTATAACTGTTTTCCCTCATGAGTTGTACAACCCAGCCTGTTACCCCAATTATACAGTCAATCATGAGAATATACTGAGGCACTGAGCTCACGTAATTGGAAAAAGCCTCTCGTTGCTTCCAACTGCATGTCTCTGGAGCATGTTTCAGGGCTCAGACCTCTGGGCAGATGCCAAGTTGCTGCTAGTAAGACTTCATTATTCAGGAATCAGTCAGCATCAAGAAACTGGACAGAGGTTTGTGTCCTTCAGTATCCTGGAGTATCTGGCCAGGGTGAACTTCAGAGTAATACAGTAACTAGTTACCGTTGGTCCTGAAAGGTACAGCACTTGACTCATCTTATCACTGATGTGGGAAGTGATGCCTATCACATTTGGTAACTCAAAGTTATTCCTGGTAGTTCCACTGAAGTTCTCCATGGGATGCTTTGGACTTGTTGCTTAAAATAGGATAATGTGAAAAGAAATCAAGAAACAAAAAGTTATGGCAAAGTATCTATGTACACTGAGTTAAGTCATGCTACAGATTGCTGTAGCATCAAAAGCTATGGATCTTTGAAAACACAAACCAGTTCTCAGTTTCTACAGTCTGAACATACCTGTTTCAACAAAGCATCAGAGCTTGTGCCTACCAGGGTGCTCATTCCAGAAGATCTTAAATGTATGAGTCGTTGATTTTCTGTTTAGTGCAGAATACTCAACCAAGTCCAAAGTTCAAACTGAGACTCAGTAATACAGAGTAGCAACTGAAGCAAAAAGGCATCACATTGCCCTCACAAGAGTGCTTTTAGTGCTACTTCAAGGACACGTCAAACCTGCTTTGTACACGCGGCAGTAATCTGAAGCATGTTTTCATGTGTTCAGACTTGTTCAGTCACACTGTCCAGCATTTCCATGCAAAGCAAAGAGGGTTCATTTTTGATCAGATATATCTGTCAGCACTTGAAGCAAATTTATACTGGTTAGAGCAACTGATCTCAAAATGACATTTTAAGTAAGTGAAAAACCTGAACGCACCACATGTCTCAAAAGACAGCTTTAGTAATTGGAATCTTGTTTAGAATAAAAACAGATATTTAAATTTGCTTTTCAAAGGAGCTGGAAGATTTTTCGTCAGTTCCACATGTTTCCATGTGCAACTGCAGCTAATGTGGAGGAGGTCTCTGCAATGGTGTGACTGCAATTGCAACTCTTAACCAGGAATGCAAGCAGAGCTAGAAGCACCTTTCTCTCCCCGTCCACTCCTATAAATGCATATCACTGTGGATGTCCTTACAGGATGACAGGATGCTTCTGCTTTATCTTTTCTGTGACTGTTTTCCCTGCCTCCTGAGAAGAATGCTGAGAATTGCTGGTGATTTTTTTTCTTTTTGCCTTTAGCATGCAGAAACGCTATAGCCTTGTTCATTCCCACTAAGTGTATTGCATTTACATGTCAAGGTTTTGGCAATAGAGGGGCTGCAGGGGTTGCCTTTGTGAGAAGACGCCAGGAACCATGCATTTCATATAAAAGCCAGCTCCAGCTGGCTCCAAAACAGACCTACAGCTGTCCAGAGCTGAGCCAGGGAGCAACGCTGTGTGGGCCTCTGTGATAATGTATTTAGGAAAAGACGAAAAGCCCTGCACAAAAGCTGTAAGAGAGAGGAGCATGGAAAATGTGGGAGTAACAACTCTGCAGACATTGTCAGGGAATGAGGATGGGAAGAAGGTGCTCTAGGTGCTCCAGATTCTCCTGTGGCCTGTGCAGGGAGAGGCCCCTGGTGGAGCAGGCTGTCCCCCTGCAGCCCATGGGTCCCACATGGAGCAGATCTCCACGCTGCAGCCCCCCCATGGGTGGAGGAGCCCCCGGTGGAGCAGGTGGATGTGGCCTGGAGGAGGCTGCGACCCATGGAGAGCCCCCTCAGGAGCAGGCCCCGGGCCAGAGCTGCAGCCCGTGGAGAGGAGCCCACACAGGAGCAGGGGGTCTGGGGGGAGCTGCCGCCCACCCATGGGGGACCCGTGCTGGAGCAGTTTGCTCCTGGGGGATGGACCCCATAGTACGGAGCCATGTGGGAGCAGTTCTTGAGGAGCTGCTGCCTGTGGGCAGCCCCCGCAGGATCAGTTTGGGAAGGACGGCATCCCGTGGGAGGGACCCCTCATGGAGCAGGGGCAGAGAGTGACCGTGAAGGAGTGGCGAAGATGAAGCACTGGGGACTGATCACAGCCCCCATTCCACTATACTGCACCAGGGAAGGAGGTGGAAGGATCAGGAATGAAGATGAGCCTAGAAAGAAGATGGACTGTGGGAGATGTTTTTAGTTAGTTGTTGGTGGTGGATTTTGTTTGTTTTGTTTCGTTTCACTTTTTTAGTTCTTACTGTTCTACTCTGTTGTTATTAATTGGCAATAATGAAAATCAGTCTTCCTGAAGTTAAGAGTTTTGCCCATGATGGTAATCTGTGAGCAATCTCCCTGTCATTATCTCAACCCATGAGTTTTTTCATCGTACTTTCCCCCTCTTCCTGCTGAGGAGAGGAAGTGAGAGAGCAGCTCGGTGGGCACCTGCTGCCCAACCAAGTTTAACCCACCACAATAAGCAGGTCCAAATCCCTGCTTTTTTGGCTCTACCGATTACACCTAAACAAATCAGTAGTGCTTGTGTTACTGACATTAACTCAATAGTTCTGGTTTGAACTGAAGCAGTTCTCAAGGCATATCTCGAAATAACTTCAGGGTTATTTTTGGTCTCCCTCCACTTCCTTGAGGTGGAGCCCATATGCTGGCAGCAACAAAACTCACCAAATGCCAAAGAAAGTGATGGCTTCACTAGCCAGTAGGTGACTCAGTGAAATGA